CGAAGCTCTGCGCTCGCACTTGTCTATATTTCATCGCCGTCAGTCGACGCCGACGAGCGGCCGAATAATCTCTCGAACGTTCGGACTCAAATAGAACATAATAAATTGACGGCACCAGGCGTTGTAGACACTCGGTGGTATCGCGTGATGTATACGCTGAGTACGCGACCAGCGAGTTTTTCGCTTGTGGACACTTAGTATTTCGTCGAGGTATGTGCCCGATAACCCTTTATAGTCTACGGATTGAAAGTGCGGTAAAGTATTCAAGTACCTTAGCTCATACATGTCCTACTGCTGGGCAAAGGCCTCCTCTGTACAGAGGGTACCAGGGCATAGTTCACCGCGCGGCCCCACTGCAGATTAGCGGAATTCACACATCTTCGAAATATTTTCTTTTGGTATTTGAAATAATATTATAAATTTGCAGGATTCCTCACGATATTTTCCTTCACCTCTTAGCACGTTACAAGTCAGCACTTAAAATTATAAATTTCGTTGGTGTTGGTACCGAGATTAGAACTTAGGTTGCTTTAGGTTATATTGAATTAAAAGCGAGCTCAAAACATTGAAATGAAAACATTGAGCTATCACGGCTTAAAAGACACACGAAAGCAGACATCAATTTAAAAGAAATCTAGCCAGTGGACTATGTAACTGAAGATCGCATCTTTTGAGGTCCTAAACTATGCTATTTAAAACATAAATATATGGATTTTTTTATTAGTTTAAACATTGATTTATTCCTTTAATTGGTAATAGTTGTACTATCTTTATACATTAAGTATAGGTATTTTAGTAATCTAAACCAATTTATCAATATTCACATTTGTATTAATATTGAGGTCTCCGGTAAAAACGTTTAAGCGCCCAGAGCGCGTTCGGTTTAAAATACAAACGGATTAATTCGATTCCGGTAAACAAAACAACTAAAAAATAACTTTTGTTACTTGTACTTATATAGTTCACTACCGCTAACAAATATCTCCATTGTGTGAAATTGGAATCTCAGTGAAAGGCTTATAAAGGGCATCATCGGAAGTAATCGATTTTCGGTCCCTTACCTTTATCAACGTATCAACGAACGTGCTGAGTCTTTGATCTAGAGTTGGTTTTTTCGGCCGTAGAGAGCGCCTCGACCCCGGTGGTTCGTTGACCCGGGGGGTCGTCGACGCGAGTATCCCAGTTCGACACTAGTAGAGTTCACGCCCGAAAGCTCAGCTCGGCAAAGGAGGCCCCAGCAACGCTCGGCGATAAACAAATTTAGCCTCACCCATTCAGCTTAATGGATTCGCTCCCGAATTGCGTTTAACGACCCGCCGCGAAAGAGGCGTCTTTGTTACGGTCTTCTATTAAATTGTTCGTGCGACGGGGGTCAAAACGGAGATAGGGTAGGCTTACTGAGTGGGTACGTAAATATGTTCATTATGGATTTATTCGCTTGTTTTGATGGTGCCTGTATTAAGTAGGATTGATTCGTCGTTTCGCTTTAGTTACCCAAAATCTTTGCTTTTTTGAGTTCTCGGCCTTTTGGTCGCCTTTATATCGATACGGTTGAAACATGAAATCATGGTTTGCAAAATGTTTGTTTTATTATTATATTTATACATGTTTGTTTTATTCAGTTAGTAAGAGAATTCCAGTATTTTAAGACTTGTTAATAAGCGTTTAACCATTGAAGTAGATACAAACTATTTACTTTACTTTATTTTTCAATAAGAAATTCTACCAATTCTACTCTGCTCTATTCAACAGATTCATTTCGCTGCACACATTTAATTGTTGTTAATAGAATTTTCGATATTACCATATTGACACACAAAAAAGCTTACAGTACGTTAAAAAAAACAAAGATATAAATGTACGTACGAATATCTTTAGAAGTAACCGCGCTGTAGGTACTTAGATATGCGGTCGCACATTTTACGATTACTGCGAGTTAACTGCCTACGTCAGCGGCACTCTAATACGAATAAGACCCGAGGAAAGTTTTTATCTGCACTCGGGCGAACGTTGGGGGAGGATGGCGCTGCCCCGCCGCCACGTATCGTTTATTTCCTTTCGGAATAATCTTTGTTTTATTTTTTATGTGAGAAGGTGTCAAACAAACTGGCGGTTCACCTGATGTTATGTGATCTTCTTCTTCTTCTTTTCGAATCAAAATTGCTATTCAAATTTCCTTCCGACCAGTATTTGGCCACATCCACCGCACCAGAATTGGCTTTCATAGGTCCAGGGGAAGGGGCCTGTTATGCGATACCCCGGGACCCATGGATATCTGCAACACGGGATTGCGAATGCGTTGCCACCTTTCAATGAAGTGCGCCTGCACTTCACACCGGTCTTGTTTGAGGTCGTGGTCCTTCCCCGGACGAGCTTGCCCATTCTTGCAACATCAGAGACTGCCACGTGGTCCTAGCTCGCTTTCATCTTTCAAACTTTGTTATGATTGAACGCCAAAACCCCCACAAGCGTTCGATATAAAGACAGGTTTGATGGTCGTGTATTTCAAATTCACGTAGGCTTGAATTTTTAATTAGTTCCACCGTCTTGCTTGGCTACCGCAAGAGTTCGTTTACCGTCAAAGTCAACAGGGTATCGACCGGGAACCGATCCCGCCCCCACCTCGCGTCGAGCCATGTTTACCCGACTACTTAGCGCCTAAGTAAACATTTGGCCTTTCCGAAAACTACATACAAATCTATGCACCGGCATGAGCTTTGGTATCGAGCTCGTTATATTGTCTGAATATGCACTTTGTATAATGTAGCATAGAGCACACGTAGGAGATTTTAACGTTAAAGTTTAAGTTTTATTTGGAAAGTCGCGTTTCTAGATTCTCTCCTCGGCGTTAGAGTTTGAAGTACAGAAAAATTACTCTTAAATATTGTATGTACGATTAAATGTACGGTTGTAATATTAATTTTTAGGCACTAAGAACCCTGCAAAATCAAAAATGTTTCCTTCTCTAATGAACGCGTATCAATTGGGCAATAATGACGCATCTTCAATCCGCTTACATAATTCATCACAGGAGTTTTTTTTTTTTTAATGTGAAAAGTTGTTAAGCGAGCAGACGGTTCACCTGATGTTAAGTGAATACCGCCGCCATGGACATCTACACCTACACCCGAGGGTTTGCAGATGGGTACACAACCTTTTTGAAAATTGGGCTCCGGCTACCTCACTCACTTGATGAAAAGCGAAAGTATTATACTTCCACTTCCCGCCGGTCTTCAGTGAGGTCGTAGTACTTACCCGGACGAGCCTTCCCATTCGTACAACAGCCGAGGCTGCTGCTTGGCCCTACCACAGTTTAATTCATGAATCTCTTACTCATGAATTCCTTTTCGTTTCGTTGATTCCATTCACTGGTAATCTCCGCTCTGATCATTCCTTCCTCTCTTTTCCGCGTCCACTTGTCAACGTTATGGTCGATAGTTTGAATAACATATTGTATCAGGAAACGAATAACTCGTTATTTGTCAACAGATCAATATTACGTACATACATGCATTGTTATGTCAATAACTAACGTTAAATACGAAAATACTTGGGTAATTTTGAATAAACATTTGCTCGCCTCTACAGTTGTACAATATTTTGACGAGTTTGTTTGAGGAGTACACATTCACTTAGGTTTTCGTATAATGGCAACGATTTTTGAAATAAACCTCGCTTATTTGCCGGTTTAAAATGCGTTAACCCAACAGTCCACGGACTCTAAGCAGGCACAACAGTCGAAGTATATTAAATAATAAAGCAGCGCTAAAGGAGTGTAAGGTTATCGAATGTAAGGTGTTTCGAAATGCTTTCTGCATACTGAACCAAAATAATATATCTATAAAAAAATATAGATATTGTTTAAAATTTGAGACGACCCGTTCAACTCGATTAAATAGTTTATTTAATCTAAGACATCAGACATGTTATGTTGTTCTGGAATCCTTAGTTCATTTCGCATGCTAGTTGTGAACACTATTTCTGATATTAGGACCACCATTGAAAATTGCACAACGTATCTAGGCCCAAACTAAGCAAAGCTATGGATTTTCTAAAACTGATAAACATACTTAAACGTACTTTTCTTCTGTAAATTAATACATATAATAGGTATATAAACACCCAGACGCTAGAAAAACACTATGTTTATCATACAACATTTTCCAGTAGTTGGGATCAAACCCACGCCCTATGGCGCAATAAACAAGGTGACCTTGTTTATTGTATCAACTACGCCAATTGGCCGTAAATAATCGCTTTCTTTGTCCGCCATTCATTCATTTGCAAAACTTTTAAATCCTCGAAAAACACTCCGTTGACGTAAATAGGCTCGACATCAACATCGGCTGAAAAGGGCACGGAAAATACCACGTGCGCCATACGGAAGGGTTCAGTTTGACGTAACTCATTTCGTTCGCAAAAAACAACGATCTACTCGGGATTGCGTAATAATATTACGAGATTGCTTCGAAATTTAAATTGTTTATAGTGCTAATCTTTGCACTTAAGATTGAACATTAAAATATGTAGAGATTGCTTCGATTGTATATTATATGTAATCCTGGATAGAGAAAAACATGAGCAGAATCAAAGGATTTTTTTAACATGATCGATAAGAATTGAAATTAAAATTTTATCACATCAATGACAACATCTAAACGATGTTTTTTTTATAATGTGCGAAAGTGACAAGCAAGCTAAAGGTACACTTGATGTTAAGTGATTTACGTCGGTAAAGGACATCTACAATATCCGTGGGGTTACGTATTTGATGCCAACTTCTAAAAAAGTGGAACTCGGTTACCTGACGAACCTGACCTACCTGAACCTGACGAAATTGAGAAGTATTATACTTCCACTAGACGCTCATCTTCTGCTAGGTCGTATATAGAAAAGAATTCTGAGCTGTTATTTATCTAAAGTATAAATTGACAGTAAATAAAAAATGCTGTTTAAGATCTTACTTATAAAGTGCTAACAAAACGTTCTAATCTTTACAGGTCTCGACAACCGGATATCCAACTCAAGGAATTCAGTCTCGCCGTAAGTATTCTTTAAACATTCGTTATCTTTCCGATTTAAAACTCAAGTATACCAAAGTTCCAATATAAAATTATATTAATGAATTATATAAAACCTGTTTTTTACCTTCGAAGCTGTTGCATGGCCCTTCTATAGTAGAAGGGCCATGCAACAGCTTCGACTGTTGCACGAATGGGCGGGTCCGTTCAGTTAAGTACCACGACCTCACAGAAAACCGGCGTGAAGTGGAAGTTTCATACTTCTGCATTTCGTATGAGTGAGGTAGCCAGGGTCCACTTTATTAAAAGGTGGCAACGAATCTACATCCCTACGGGTGCTGCAAATGTCCATGGGCGGTGGTTATCCCTCAACATCAGCTGTACCGCCAGCCCGCTTGCCACCTTATCACATAAAAAAAAAAACTCGTATCACTCGGGTGACGTGAACTCAGCGTGAAGTCGAGTACTTTATACTATCTTATTTGAAGATTAATGACGTCAGTAATATTTAGGTTAATCGAGTGTCTTTAACTAATTCGTTAGAATTAAAACGTTGAGAGGCTGTTTTCGTATTAGATTCGTAATTTTGTCTTCGTTGTTTGCAGAGAGGTGATAAATAAGGACCTTGGCTTGTCGGAGAGTGACGATGAGGTTGCCGCCGCCACCACCACGAGACTAGAACCGTAAGCTCTTGAACTATTTAATAATTTTTCTTTGGAAAAGGAACAGAAATACACGTTCATAAAGATGGATACGAAATATGTTTAACGTTTGTCAAAAGTTTTCCCACCAAACTATAAACACGTAGTTTTGAAGATAGATTAAAAATTAAAAAAAAGACCAAAGTAAATGTATTAAACAAAAAACACACCGACAAAGACTACAAATCACTGTCAATTACGAATTATTTTTGACTACAAAGGCAAAACTTGAGAATGAATCAAGAAATACATAATTATATTATGTACTAGTGGTGCTAATGGCTAGTGGGCAAAATTCGACCATAATTAATTATACATGTTAGTGTGTGTGATGTTTTTGTTTAATTAATTTAATTTATTTTTAAGCATAATTTAAAAAATATTTGTATTCTGTATTCCTTCTCTATTATTTTAAACTAACTATTAAAGAAATTACACACTCCTCCGTCCGCATTTTCGTATTTTCGTACAAAGTTTTTGCTTCACGTATTAATACCTCAATTTGTAAATATTCAAATTGTGACATGTTGCTCTCAATAAATATCTAAATTTATTATAATTTTATCGACAATTAGGTACAAGAAAAAAATCTTTCGATATTTATATCTCTATTTTTCCTACGTAGTTGTAAATTCAGAGACTTGTTTTCTTTAACGTTTAAGTTTTTTTAACTTGTAATGAATTCTTTTGAATATTTTTATAGCATCATTATGAATGCATTAACTAACATTCATCGCTATACAGGGTGGCTTTTATAAAGGTACCCAAATTCACACAGTAGGTTCAGACTCGGTAGTATAATCGTTTTGAAATAAAATCAAACTTTTTTGCAAAAAAAATTACATTCTATTCCCTAAAAAACAGAACTTGTTCAAAATGCGGTGGTCATTCATAAATGCGTCGTATACTTTTGAAACGAACTTGTGAGTGTTAGTTATGAATGATCGCGCGTAAAATAAATTAGTTGCCCATAAATCACGCACATTTTGAGATAAGTTCAAATGAATGTAATTAATTAATTACGAGGTATTTTAAATATTTATCATTTTTTTACATAACATTATTTATGTCTAGAATTTAATAAAAAAAATTGATACACTTAAAAATGCCTCCCTATATATAATTTAAATCAGCTTTACCGTATCTTTAATTGTGTAACTATTAAGTTCGAAGACATTCCTATAATACATATTCTGTTAAACGCACGACTATGATGCAAAATTGTCGGTTTCGAATAGTAATTATTATAAAGTAATGCTTCTCACTTTCCGTCGACTGTTCATATAAATTATTAAATGGACGAAGCAGTTACATTGTTGCTGCGCAAATTGTTTCAAGGTGTAAATGAATATTTGAATTTATAAATTAATTGCTAAGGTGACACTATGAACAATTTCATCGGGAGATGTATATACAATGTATGTATGTATGTTGGGATTGTTTTGGTAAACTCTATTGTTGCACGAACGGAAAGACTCTGTGGAAGTTCCACCGTCTCACTAATCGGAATTATTTATAAAGACTACTTTGTGCTTTTTGTCGCGTTTAATATTTTTCGTAATTTACCATGTTTCAAACACTTTACAGACTACAAGCCGCGGATAAGACACTGTTGTGATTATACTTTTGCATTTAGTCTCACTTCTAGTTAAAGATTGTAAAACTACCGTATAAGGCGGTTATTATAACATAAAATAACTTTAAAGTATAAAAAAAAAATATTTTCTTTACGTCTGGACTCAGTTAGGGAAAAAGTTGGTAATGAATCGATAGGCGGTGTCGTTGAGCTTATTGGCTTCGACAACCAATTTTATAATCTATATTCAATAATAGATGCTTACATAAGTGTTTTCAAACCCAATCACGGTAATAAGTAATTTATTTCCATCACTGGGTTTTCAAGATACAACTAATTAAATTTAACAATACAATATATTCAAAACCTTGGATCAAAACACTGCTGGTGACATGGGCAAAATGTTTAATTTAAAAGTTTTATCATTTTACACAATTTGGACTCCCAATAGACTCGTTTCGCTTTGCATTTTGTCGTTTTTTAATAAAGATGATTTCACGATGAAATTGTTTTTCCTTATAACGTGAATAATTTTGCGCTGGGGTACACGAACTGATTTACGAAGCTATTTGTTGTAGGTCCGAGATAAAGTTATTGCTCAACTATTTCACATTAAGGTCAAAACTGCGCGGTACAATGGGCACGTGTCACAAAGCACGTGGTGTTTGTTCGTGCCGCGATCGTTTTCAACGTACATTGTTTATTATGGACGCGTTTATTGCTCCACGTGTAACGGCTAATTGAGATATACTGATATATGTTCAAATCAAATAAAAAAATATCTTTATTCACATAGACGCTTGCGCGATCTTATGAATCGTCAAATTTTACAAAAAATCTTATATATAGGTTCGTAAGATAACCCCGGTTCGGAAAGCAGTTTCTGTTGAGAAGAGACCGGCAAGAAACTCAACAGTTTGCTCTTTTTCAAAAATATCAGTTTACAATATAACATACAGGTATTAGGTCTTATTCTAGACTACGTGAGTATCGACAGTATTAACTCCACACATTGGCGTCGTCGAAATCACTATCGCGGCTGATGCCGTAAAACTAAAACGGTTTATAGATAGAAGAACTTGAACGAAGCATACGACATGCGTGCATGCGAAGAGTGGATTTGCTATCCTTGACTTTCCTTAAAGAGGAAACTCTTTAAGTATGCGAGTTCCTCATGAGTTGGATAGACTTTTATTGAGCAAGTAAATAAGTTTATTACCTAAGAGCAAATTATTCCTTTAAACGAGATGGCTTACTATGAGTCTGTTTTTAAGCACTGGTCTGTTTATGAGTATGAGAAAACAATTATTAAAAAGGATAAAATCAGAGTTGTCAATTCACGCGAGAATTGTCCACTTTTATTTATATATTTATGCATTCTCCAATATTGACACAAAAACCAGATCAACGACGGGCGGACTTAATGCCCTAGTGCTGTGCTTTGCTCTCCAGTATCCTCTCGCCGATCGGCTCCGGCGGCAGCCCGAGCTCGGGCAGCGAGTCGTCGCCCTCCGACTCGGAGTCCGAGTCCTCGTCGGCCGAGTCGACGGCGGCGAGCGCGCCCGCGCCCGCCGCTCAGCCAGCCGAGCGGCCGTCGTGGAGCCTGAGCAACTTCGCCCCGCCGCCCGCCAACCCCCCCGAGCACACGTACGACGCGGGCAAGGAGCTGAGGCATGCGCTCGCCGACGTCAAGGGCAAGCCGGTGAGTGTTTGCCGGGTGGATTTTCTCCTTACTCTTACAGCATAAAGGCGGCTGACGGTAATCATAAGCGCCGCACTGCTAGTGATGTAAGAATGATCATGTATGTAATTTTCATGCAACAAGTAAAGAGTTTCGTGCGAACAGATACAATTTTTTTTATAAGTTGTTGTCAGATTTAAGTCGTGTGTACAGTACAACGTCTAACGGGTCCGTTAGTACCCTTATATAATAACATAAGTTGTCTTAAGCGGCTGGTTCGTGTCGAGGTCGAGGTCAACTTATTATAATAAGTTAAAAATCTCCATCCTTCCATTCGCCTCTCCATAGTATTTATATAAACATATAGTTGCATTTACGGTTCTACAAAAAATCGCGTGTCTGTGGTAAAGTTCAAAGTAATAAGGAAAAACATCGGTGGCCTATTATTGTAACTTGTAACATTTGAATGCTTTGTAAGGAATCACGTGTTTGTTTTTATACACGTCTTTTAGTTTGCGATATGTACTATTCTCGAAATGTAATATGACCCTGACGTTATTGTCTCCACACAGTATAGGGCTGTCACTACAAATCAAATAAAAGGTAACACGCAAACGCACGTAACTATTTCAAGTTATGGTAATATTGGAACTATGATCAAATTGTTTATTTTCTGCTTTAAAAACGCATAAATATAGGACTGTAAAATTTTTTTGCTACATTTTATACTTTGTGTTATATCCAATATTGATTAAAAATTTGTGAAAATATAATTTGTTGGTACATAATTTCCAACATGTGTCACTTACTTCATTGATTAATTCTTTACATTTATCGCGGGTGACACAGGAACGATTAAGAGACGAACAAACAAACATACAAACGATTTAACGATTTACACAGTTACAGTTTACATTTAAGTGAAGTTTCTAGATTCTCATCGACCAACCACCCGGTAGATCGAAGTCCTCGATCGATTCCTTATCAGTTTTATCGTAACAAAAATGGGTGCGGGTACTTATTTACGCGTGTGAGAAGTTATACTTATTTGGCATCATTAAAAAATAGTTTTCAATTGCATGCAAATAATTAATTGCAATAAAGTAATAAAAAGACTGGAAATTGACATAAATAATAAAAATAATAAGCGGTTTAGCGGGCAGCTTCAAAGATGTTACTTTTGTATTACAGTGACGCGCGCGCATCTTAAAATTTCACTCTCATAATTTTCTCATAACGCGCCTAAAGAAGTATAACTTCAAAAACTTCTCGTCGCATCGTTGACTACTCCTTCCCAAGTGTCCTGTAGCGACAAATAAACAGTTCGCCGTAAGGGGCGTCTGACTAAGCGTAAGGCTCGAGAGAGTTAGCGACGCAGCACAAACGCTCTGGCGCTCCGTTGTGCTAACTCGGTCATTATGTTACTCATTGACCTCGGGCAACGAAACATCTCCTCCATAGTGACTCCCATACAAAAATGTATCGCGGCCGAACGGATCGAGCGACCGTTAGCGCGTGTCAAAAATGGATCAACTTGTCAATGCTCAAGTGTAACCTGCGCTCGTGTCTGTGGAATTTCGAGGCGTGCTTGGATTCGGTGCCCGTTGGCGATAGGCTGACGGTGTTTCGCGAGTTCCTCCGCTTCAAGGACCGCCTGTGGCAGGCGGTGGGCGCGTTGCACGGGAACCTGGCCTCTGGGCACGCCGCCATAGAGGTCCAATTTGCGTGATAAATACTTTCTGAGAGACGCGTGTTTCGGTTGCGCCGGCCCAAACACGGAAGGTCGCCGTACAAAGAGTCGTTCGAATAACGCAAGTTAAGCGTAAACAATAATGAGCTTAATCGTTCTATTCACAGAGTCCAATTTCGGAGTTGTCCGACTCGGAGACGTCCTCACCATCACCTGGCGCTTTGCGACGGAGGAGGTCCGCCGCGAACCGCATATCGACCGCTTCCAGCGATGAAGACACGCCGCGATCCCACAATACGGTAATTATTACCAGTTCCTTTTTATCGCTACATAGTATAAAACAAAGTCGTCCCGCTGTCTGTCTCTATGTATGCTTAAATCTTTAAAACTACGCAACGGATCTTGATGCGGTTTCTTTTAACTAGATAGAGTGATTCAGGAAGAAGGTTTATATGTATATTACATTGCACCCGTGTGAAACTGGGGCGGGCTAATCTGGAACAAAAAGTTGCTTGCAATGAGACGGGTAAACCGTTAAGGCATACTCTAAGATACGTTTGACTAGTTAAATATAAATAATACTGTTCGTTTATCTAAATCCTTTGCTTGCTCTTAAAATATTTACTAACTCGTTGCGACCAGTGTAAATGTATTTATTGCTAATTTTATTACGAAGTCCACGTGCAAGGCAACTCCTAGTTCTTTGGCACAGTTTCTTTGATCTTAACGCTTACTATGATTAAAAGACCTCACTAAAACCACTGTCTTAACAAACGACTACTGTCTTATTGCATGTTTGCATCAATAAAAGAAGCAAAAAATTATCAATACGTGAACATAACTTAGCCATTTTTATATAAACTAGCGGTTTAACTCATAAAAGTCCATCCGCAACATGGATAAGGTTGCCAAAATTCGAGCTGCCCGTCCTCCCATCTAAATGCCTCGACGAAACGCAAAAGTAAATATGTATAATAATATATACTGCCATTATAACGCGGTTCTTCTGCCGGAGTCGCTACACGGCTAACACAGCGATAAGTCGTGGTTCTGAAAAGCGACATTGTACAACCCTATTCCCCGGTACCATCGCGAAAAGCGACATTTTTTGGTACAACGCTATTCCCAGGGTATCATTGCGAAAAGCGACATTTTCGGCACCACCCTATTCCCACGGTACCGTCATGGAAAGCGACATTTTTGGAACAATCCTATTCAAACGGGTAGCGTTGCGAAAAGCAACATTTTTGGCAGAACTCTATTCAAACGGTACCGTCGTGAAAAGCGAAATTTTTGGTACAATCCTATTCAAACGGGAACCGTTGCGAAAAGCAACATTTTTGGCAGAACTCTATTCAAACGGTACCGTCGCGGAAAGCGACATTTTTGGCACAACCCTATTCCCACGGTACAATCGCGTTCAGGCGTCGCCGGCGGCGGCGGGCGCGGGCTCCGCTGCGACCGCCCCCGTGAAGCGGGGCAGGCCGCCGAAGCAGCGCGCCTCTGAGGAGCGGCCCGCGAAGAAGAAGCGCGGCCGCCCGCCCAAGAGGCAGGCGTCGCCCGCGCCGCCCGAGAGCGACCCCGAGCCCGACCCGCCGCAGCACCACGCGCTGCAGGACACCAAGACGCACATCTTCCGAAAGGTGAGGCCTTATGTCCGTGTCGGCGCGACTGTACCTCGACGGCGACGTCGTCGCAACCTTAGATTTTTTGTTAACAGCTGTGATGGACGCGACTGTACCTCAAGGGCGACGGTCTCGTACCGTGAGCGTATTTTATGTCAACAGCTGTGCTGGACTCGACTGTACTTCGAGGAGAGTTTCGAGCGAGATTTTGGTTCCGTACATTATTTCGTTTGTTAAAAACTTCTCGTAGGTCAGTATTCTATTAAGGTCAACGCGACAGTACCTCGAGGACAGTCTCACACTTGGGTTGGTTCAGTAGGTTAATATTTTCTTTGTCAAGAACTTACGAAAAGTGTGGTTTCAAGGACATTTCGAGAAGTGTTTCTCGTTCTAAACAAAAATATTTCCAACGAAACCTAACTTCCATACGAATTTGTGTTGATACATAATTAAACATTTATTACGAACATTTTGTTGCCAGGACTAGTATTGATTCAGCTTTTCCAGAATATTGAAGTCTCATAAGAAGCTAATTTGATTATGAATGTTTGCGTTTAAAACTATTCATTTTATAATAAAATTGTATGATAGACATTACATGATATATACAACTATAATATATATCATGTATAAGAATGATTTCACATATGTGCAATTTTCAGGTATTCACGCCGAAGAAGGGCGACGAATGCGGTGGGAAGGGCGGCAAAGGAGGGAAGGGCAAGGGCGGGAAGGGGAAGGGGCAGGTGACGATCATCGAAGTAACCGCACCGGAGTCGGGCGCGGACGACGAGGATCGAAGGCATCGGGAGCGCTCCAACGAGCGGCGCAACGAAGAGGCAATCGCCAGGGTGTCGCCGCCACGGGAATCGGAAACGTCGACGAGGAGACGCGAGGCGGAGCGGATGGCGAACGAGAGGATACAGGAGCGGATGTCGATCGAACGGCCCGACCACAGACGCGCCGACGACCGGATCCCCGACAGGCCGACGGAGCGGACGTCGAACGACCGCATACCGTCCGATCGAATACCGAACGAACGGTTGCAGCCGGACCGCGCGTCGAGCGATCGCTTCCAGAACGAGCGCAGGTCGAGCGATCGGGTGCAGACGGAGCGGCTGTCCAACGAGAGGCCCGAGCGAATGTCGAACGATCGACTGCCCGATCGAACGGTTAACGAGCGCTATCAAAGCGAACGGATCGCGGCAGACCGCGCAACCTCCGATAGGCTGTCAGGCGACAGATCATCGGAGAGAATGGCGAGCGATCGCTTAGTACCGGAGAGATTACCGAGCGATCGGTTACAGATGGACAGGATACCTAATGACAGAATACCTACCGAGCGTATGTCGAACGATCGAATATCGACTGACAGGATGTCGAACGATCGGATACCGTCGGATAGAATGCCTAACGAGCGGATACCATCGGATAGAATACCGAACGATCGGATACCAATGGATCGGATGTCGAACGAGCGACTACCTTCGGAGAGGCGTTCGAACGATCGGTTGGCGCCTGATCGGATGTCCTCCGACCGAATGTCGAATAACGATCGGTTATCAACCGACAGGTTGGCGGTCGGTCTGCCAACAAGCGAGCGGAGGTCATCCGAACGGATGTCCAACGACAGACTGTCGGGCGAGAAATTATCGATCGATCGCCTCTCAAGCGATAAGCTGGAACGGCTGTCGAGCGAGAAGCTGTCGCACGAACGACTTTCCGCTGACAAGTTGTCGATGGATCGCCGCTCCGGTGATAAGACAACCCTAGAGCGGATGCCGAGCGACAAATTGGCGTTGGAGCGTTTCGTGTACGCGGAGGCCGATGTCGGTTCGGGGCTGAAGTCCGGACGGGGCTCCGAAAGGATGGAGGAAGCGTCGTCCAACGGTGAGTGTTTAAAATTCATTTAGGTTATTTAAATCAAGAATATGTTATTTTATGATATTTTCGAACAGACCGACATGTGTGTACTTCCAAAAAATCTAAAACGTGATATTTCACAACAAAAAAAAAAGGTCACTATCTAAATGCATTCAAGACAAGAGTGAAAACTATATCACTTATTATCAGGTGGAATTATATGAATGAGCAGTTTTACGCCACATATTATATTGTCACATTCCACTTTTATGCCACATGAGGCGAATGAATTTTCATTTTGGGCTCTGGCAACAAGAACGGACTCGATTCGCCTCGCGTTCAAAAAAAAATAACACGCTTTCCGTTCCATTTTCGAATGTTTGATCGCGTGCTCCACCCGATCGCTTCTCATCTCACTCGCGTCCCGTCCGCAGTGACGTAGAGATGTCGAAAAAATACCGATGTATCGATATTTTTGATTTTTATATCGATTTTTTAACCGATATTATTTTGATCCGATATATTTGATACAAAACAATAATATTGAAAAACTAAAGTATCTAAAACGATATGTTTTCATATTCCAATCCGGCACGGAGACCGTAAAGTAAGCCTATTCTAGCTAGTCCCGCTGCTAGCCTAGTCCCGCTGCTGGGCAAAGGCCTCCTCTGTTAAAAGGTTATCAGGGCATAGTCCACCACGTGACCCCACTGCGGATTGGACAGAGTCGGTAGGTGTTAAATATTCTATACGTGCATTACATACTTTTTATGGATGACGGGGTTTTTTTGACCTAAAGAGAAAATGTCGATACAACGATATTTTGTCTTCGATATATCAAAGCCGATATTGATATTTTTGTAAACACCGATGTGTCGACATATTTGTCACTCTCGACACCCCTACAGTGACGGAGAGGCGCGCGCGCGGCCGGATCCTGGTGCGCGTGCCGCTGTGCCGGCTGCGCGCGGAGACGGTGCGCGCGCTGCACCGGGCGCCGCCGCGCCGCGCCGCCCCGCCCCGGCCCACCACGCCGCCGCCCGACCAGGTACGGGAACGGAGATTTCATACGTTCGTTCGTTCGTTCGTTCGTTCGTTCGTTCGAAATGTTCGGTTCAGTCTTCCATTCCTAGTGTACTTCGTTCGTTCGTTCGAAATGTTCGGTTTATGAAATTTCTCAGGTTGAATTCAGGTTGAATGAATGATTTGTGTGGAAGGGGTTAGGTAGTAAGTTCCAACGGCCACTGCCACCTAGACGGTCTGTGCCCCTTCACGACGCCGCCGCCGGACCAGGTACGGAAACGGAGCTTTCATTCGTTCGTTCGTTTGAAATGTTGGGTTTTTGAAACGAGTCTGTTTGAATGAATGACTTGTGTGGAAGGGGTTGGATAGTAAATCTGAACGACCTAAAAGGTCTGTTGTCATCTTCTCTTCCCAGTGGCCTGTCCGCCCTACGACGCCGCCGTCCGATCTGGTACGGAAACGAAGCTTTCATTCATTCGTTCGGAATGTACGGTGCATGAAATTTGTCCGGTTGAATATATGATTTGTGTGGAAATGGTTGGGTAGTAAGTCCCAACGACCACTGCGACCTAGAAGGTCTGTTTTAGTTCTCCCTTTGAAATCATTGACCCGTACTGTAGGATAACTTTATCATGTGTAGTAAAAACATTTTTCATACATATATTTCACCCATATACAAAATAATTACCTGTAGGTACAATTAGTTAGCTCGTGTAGGGAATGGAATTCATGACGCCCGGCGCCGTAACCAATACCTTGGCAGGTTAGAGGAAGTACCAATATCAAGTAAATAAAAATAATAAAATCAAATTCCCTTATAGCTAGTAAGAATTATTTATGATCATACGAGAACATCAGGCTTAACGATTTTTTTGTTTCAACTGTTTACAAACAGAACGGAGCAAAGAAGTATTATCCCTTTGTAGTCTTTTGTTTTCAGGCTTTCACGCTTAATGTAACAAAAACGAAATATTTTGATTAGTTTATTTTCGACGGTAATACAAACTTACGCTACCCCACCCACTGATTGTAGATTTTGAAATAATTTCTTCAATAACATCCTAGTCCTCGTGTTTTTACAAGTATTCGAAACGTTGAATTAAATCTAAACGAAACGTGATAAAATTCTAAACGGACAGATTTAAGTAATTGTAACAAAACGCAATGTCCTCATGCGTTAAAGAAACTATCAATTCTATTGCGATTACATATAAGGTGTGTTTTCGTTTGCAGGGCGTCGACGTGGCGGGCGCGACGCAAGAGCGCGCCGTTGTCGGACAAACTCCCATCTACTACTCCTACTTCGAGCGACTACCCGCAGATGCGCTGTCGGATGAGGAGCGAGACCACGCGTGAGTTGCAATTGATCTTGTGACGTCATCGATAATCAGTTCACGTCATCGATGACCACTTGTCACGTCATTGATAGTCACTTGTAGCGCCGGACTCCCTTGTTTGCCAGAAGATTGTCAAAGTTGGGTCATCAAAATCACATAAGAAATAGTTACACTATTTCATTTTCAAAAGACGCCTGCTGAATAACTTTCTTCTCGTACTCTGAGTTTTTAACAAAAAAAAATCATATCGGTGCGTGCGTGTGCGCTTATTGCCCTTACGCACACATACGTATCCCCGTTACGTCTTAATAGAATGCCACGCCACGCACACACGAATACAGGTGCACACTAGTGTGCATAATGCCCTTTAACTAGCCCGCCCCCCTCACCCCGCAGGTACCACCTGAGCGAGGCAGCCCGCCTGCGCACGGCGGCCGAGCGCGAGCAGGAGCCGCTCACCCGAGTAATGCTCTACCTCGAGTCGGTGCTCTGCTTCGTGCTCACCGGCCGAGTGCTCGAGCTCGAGCACGACACTAAGCGAGCCTTCACCATCTACCGGGAGACGATCGAGTACATCAAGTCGATACACTCGATGCCGCAGCGGTTCCGCGCCTCGCCCCACTCCACCTTCAGCTCGACATTCAGCAAGCTCGACATACTCAGGTGAGAAGCGCGCGCCGGGCGAATGTGCGCCGTATTCGAATGGTGTTAAAGTCTATTTTATATAAATGCACGAATCCTACAAAATTTTTCTTGCTTACAAAAAAAATGTAACGTAACATCCTGTAAATGTCCCACTGCTGGGCAAAGGCCTCCTCTGTAAAGAGGGTATCAGCGGATTGGCAGACTTCACATATTTTCGAAATATTATTTTTTGTTATTATTTCGAAAATATACATAGGTTCTCTCACGATTTTTTCCTTCACCGATGAGCACGTGATAAGTTAGAAATAACAAATTATTTCGTGTTTTTTCAAAAACTTTAATACTTTAAAATTATTTGCTTGCATGATTAATAAAAATTAATAATAATTTTCTAATCTTAAGTTTCAACTTATAAATTCGGAACATAATGTCCTTTCTTTCTATTTTTTATTGATTTAATCGTATTACCTTTGCAGTCTGCGAGTCCAAGCGCTGCTGTACCTGCGAATGTTCAAAATGTACAATCGCGAAGTGAAAGAATACAAAAAGATCGTGCAGGAGTACCAACAGAAGGTGTGTACAAGATGTCTAAGTTATATGCACTATTATTAAATGCCTACGTTAAATAAAACAATAACAGTTACGTAAATTGCTACACCAACATTTATAGTGGATTTGAGCAGGACTCAAAACAAACACTTGCCGGATGCGTTAAGATTTGAGATCCATCTATCGTCAAATTAGGATATCACATTAGTTATTACTGTACTAAGGCCACGCAACAGTCTTCTCTGTTGCAAGAATGGGCAAGTCCGTCCGGTTAAGTACCACAACCTCACAGAAGAATGTCTTGAAGTAGAAGTGTTATACTTATTACTTTATTAAAGACAATATAAATCTGCAACTCTACGGGTGTTGCAAATGTCCATGGTCTACCGATTATCACTTAACATCAGGTGAACCACTAGCTCGCCTGCCACCTACTCACATTAAAAAAAAGTTAAAATGTCCAGAGATAAATTACACAGAGTGAGGCCATATCTAAATGTGTCGTCACTATCTTTGCACCTTATCACAAATACGAAACAACAACGCCGGTTAGCGAATAATCGGTTGTTTGTACATCAGTTGTCTGTGTCGCAGCCGGCGTGCGCTGAGTCCGTCTCGCCGCTGTCTCCGACGCCGTCGCCCGCTGGCTCGGTGGGCTCCGTGGGCTCGGGCGCCTCCGCGTCGTCTGGCTACTGCTCGCTGGCTCACTCGGTGCCGGCCCACGCCCACCACGCGCTGCTGCAGCTCACGAAGTACTACACGTTCCTGTACGTGGCGCACGACCTGTGGGAGCAGGCGGACGCGCTTTGCAGGCTCAGGGCGAACCAAGGTGAGCGCTCTGTTCTCTCTTGTTGCTCTGTGCAGTCTATCTATTGAAAGCGCGTGAAACAGTGAGCTCTGCAGTCTGCGTAAATTGATAGTCTGTTGTCTCATTACTCTGTGCAAAATATTTTGATTGATTGTACTGTGTGAGCGACTACACAAGCGAGACGTGCGCTCGTTGTTAGATTACACTGTGCTCCATTGGTTTATTAAGTTACCTACTATGCTCTGCGGGCTCGGAATCGGATGGGATGCGCACTGTTTACCGTCGCATTACACTGTGCACCTTTAGTTTATTGTAAGCTAACGCGATTTGGAGGCTCAGAGTCAAGTAAATGGCACCCTCAAACCCTTCCCAAGTGCTGACATTGTATTTACCCTATGCGCGCTCTGTTTATTTATACTATGCGGCATATATGAGGTATGTCACATAGTATAATAAATAAACAGAGAAGTTATATTTTATGACTTATTCTATTTGAGAGTATGCGTCACTCGTAAAGTAATATGAAAATAATATATTAATTAACAGAATTAACGGGTGATGTTGGTTATGATAGTTCATTCTCCGCTAGAGGAACCTCATTACGAAACGGTGGTAGATTAAAAAAAAAATATGACTATCGATAGATGAAATTAATGTAAGTTTCTTATGTCGATGAATAAATGATTTTTATTTAGATTTTTTGATTCAGATAGAGCCGTTTTTCTGTGGAATTTCGAAAAGCTTACTCTGCCCACGCTATCTATACATATACGTATACATCTTTATTGACGTTTCGATTTAATTTCCAGATCTGTTCATAGCGGTGGACCGCAAGTGCGGGCCGCTCACTCTGTTCTCGACGTTCCGCCACCTGGTGCAGTACGTGCGCCACGCCATATCGCTGCTGAAGGGCGCCGCGCGCGAGTGACCGCACGCCCCGCCGCCGCGCCGCCGTCCACTGCGCGCCCTGTACTCGCTGTATGCCTGAGCGGCCGCGGCGGCGCGGCAGTGTACGGCGCGCAACGCGCCATTCACGCCAGGGCGGGGCGACGGGCCGAAGCGACGCGGCAACGTACAGTGCGCGGCGTACAACTGACGGACCGAGGCGACGCAGCGATGTGTGATGAAATAAAGCAACACCCGTGCATCAAACGGGCCGCAATGAAGCAAAAGTGCACAACGCACTTCGGTTGTGTACGCCGTGTACTGCACCTATCACCGTGTCGTGCACAGTGTACTTTTAAGACCCGCATCATCAATTGCGAGCGGTGTGTTTGGCCTGGAAAAATCGATGTACTTAGTGCACGCACGGCGGTCTTAACACACTTATTGTACACGGTGCCACTGGCCAGCTATCGTTCCGAACAGTATTTTGCCTCGGACCTTTGTATGTATTGCGTGTATATACGACGGTCTAAGCAAGAGCCAATATTGTACACAGTGTACTTCTGATGGACTTTAAAGGCATGTGCCCGACCTTTACAAAGTTTACTATAACGAATTTCTGTCGAGTAAGATACGATAATTGCACACAGTTTGAAAAACAAAAGCATTTGCAAACGGAATGAAATACACTAATCGGAAATATCTATAACATTTGTGAAAGCAATGTTCGATATTCGAAATTATCAAACAAATTATACATTAATATTGAAATTTTTATTTTAGCGAAATTGCTAAGCAATTCCCAAATTATTTTAACATTTTTATTATAAAAAATAGGCCTTTTTTATTCGATTGCGAGTGCTTCCTTTTCTCATTCCGTGTAAATACGTAACTCTTTTCACCCATTGTCTCTACCCTTCGCATTCAAAACCCACTTGTCCTAATCGAAAACACCAATTGTTACAAATACATTTACTCTTAAGTTGCATGAATTTAAAAAAAATATTATTGTCGTAATAATTATAGAGCGTCTATTATTTGGTATAGAAATGTGGTTTTTGTGTAAAAATGAATATATTTTTTAATATTTTTATACGTTTGCATTTGTCGATGTCGAAAAAAATGGGGGATTATTGTCGCTTCATTGCGTATTAATTACGTTCGAAGCAAAGATGAACCATCTTAGAGAGATGACGGTACAGAAACGCGCGGTGATTAGGATTTTTTTTTTTAAGAATTATGCGTCAATGTATCAAAATGGCGTATTTGATTAGAATTAGCAAAACGACGAAACAAAACGTTTACAAAAGAAATTAAGTTGTTATCGATATGCGACCTTGAAGAGCAACGGAACACAGCAATAATTACGAAAATAATGACGTGTTTGTGAATAATTGTTGTCGACAATTTTGTGCAGAGAGAGAGAGAGAGAGAGAGATTATCAAGTGCTACGTCACAATGAAAAGAAAGACAACAAACGACTTAACGACCGGATAAGAGGTAAAATCAAATCTATTATGTATAATTTTAAGGTTAAAATTTAAACGGTCGCGCTCTTAGTTCGAGTCGTCGGTTGGACTAATTATATTTTAACTGAAATCGAATAATGAACTGTGCATGTATATACACATATTATATACATACATATATAGAAGCGTTTAATTATAGTTGCTCTAAAAAGGACATTGGTCCGATTTAAAAGATCGAGCGTAACATTACCTAAATGGCGCTTCGCTCTCCACCCAAAACTTTGACCAAAAAGAGAAATATGTATGTGTAAATTGTAACAAATTATTTGTATATAGTTTAGGATCGCAAAGCGAACGGACCGCGTCGCCAACGATCGGCCCTGTATAGTACATTTAGGCCCTTATCGTTACTGAATTAGAGTTCATTTTCGTAGCAACCCAACGTCCTATATCTAACGGAGACGGCCGTAGGGGAAACACTTACGAATTGTTTCAGAGAGTAACCGCTGTATTCAGACTGGGCGTTATATTCGATTATCGTTCTTCACTTCTTGGTAATTGGGCTTAAATTAATAAACACACGAATTTAATGCAATGAAACAGCTAATCGAGGTCTAGTGCGGCCAAACAATGAAAGCGCGTGGGCCAATCGTGTATATGTAATAATTACTTATGTCAGTATCGTATGGGAACAGTTGTTTACAAGTCGCGCTAGATTTGCATTATTTCACGCGTAAGTTCGGTGTCACGCAAATACTTCGAAGACTTACAGTGAAAGTGCGTCGAGTGAATTTTTTTTAAGCAATTTCTTAAGTGGCCGAAAGAAACTTAATCGTGTTACGAGAGTACTTATTAAAGTGATTAATTTTGATCTGATACGTGACGGTTGAGATATTTTTTTTTCTGTTAGACACGTCCGTTTAACTTTGTTCGCCTGCACTTAATGTAACGCATTCGATTTAATTTTTTACGTTAGACTTCAGTTCTATTCCAAATGCGATCGCTTCCTCTCTCAGTGATATTGCACGCCCATTATGAGCGGACAGTGTTTATGATATTTCAGTTGTGTGTCAATATCATTTGTTACATGATATACGGCGTGTCGTTACAACCGCGACAATAAATGAACACGACTCTATCGCTACTTGCCAATAATCATAAAAAAAAAATAAACTTTAAAAAAATCCATAATTAAAAAAAATATTTTTCGTACAAACTAATTAAATAAAAAAGAAACAAAATTCGAAACATCCTATACAACTACAACTGACTGATTCATACATTCAGAGACTTTTTCATTCGTCGCCACAGCGTCGCATTACAAGTCTCTCCTTCTAACAGTATGTTTTGTCTCTAAATTTCATTCAACCCATTAATATGCTTTGTGACCTTTACAAATGAACTTTACGTTACAGTTTTATACGTAAGGGTGTTCTAAAATTGGTTGTTTTGGAAAATTTAATAAATAGGTAAATATTGATGTTTAAAGAATGTAAATGTCTAATTCAATTTTAAAACTTATCCTCTATGTGTTAATTTATTGTCGCGGTTGTAACGACACGCTGTATATCAACTATTCAAATCAGCTTTAAGTAGTGATGGTGGGGATATTTGCGTGACACACTATCATTGTCGCATGGAGGATAATTGGATAGGGGCTGGTTTATATTGAGATCTTGATTTTGTAGTTGATTGGTTATGTTATAACAGGATTAGTTTAACCAGTTCGCGCTCAAATTCGGGCGTGGAAGCTCTTACAGAATGTTCCTAGATCGAGCCACAAAGCAAAAACTGTGGCCAAACAAACAATAATACATCACGAACACAATTTTTTATTATACATATCAACGGATAGGTTTTTCGGTGAGACTATTTAGTAGACGGCATGAGCTGTGTCGTAAAGGAAATGGGATTGACAATAATATTATTTCTTTTTAGGGCAACGCTAGATCAGATTTTGAGTCGCACGAGATACGCAGTATATTTATTTTCGACTGTTCGCATCGCAGTACAAAAACACACACAAACAAACACATACATACCGCATACAATCGGTCGACTGCACCGTAACGACAACAGCATCTATCCTATTTATATTCCTCTCGGTTGTTCATAAAATTTATGTTGTGATTGTAAATACATACATAATATATTATACATTTTGTAATGAATATACATATTAGTGCCAGTTAGGGTTTTTTGTATGGAAGTTTTTTGTATGAGCGCGCGTGTTCGCGACGTCGGCTAAGTTTCGTCGCCATGGAAACGCGCTTCGGTTTAGTGGCGAGACTATGGGGAGTAACGCGATCGATGCCTTGTACATATAGTGGACATTAAGAAATGTGTAATTTTCAATTCTTATATCTTAATTTATATTGTAAACTATATTTATAGTTAAGCGGACAAGGGGATGCGGTGGTGCGTGAGTGAGTGGTGAGTGGTGAATGGTGAGTTGTGAGTGGTGAGCGGTGTGAGTGGCCTGGCGTGAGTGCGTGCGCGGCCGAGTTCGGTTGCCACGGCGACGGCCATGTGCGTCCAATCGCTAAGAAGCTCGGACTGGCTGGCCTCGGTTGCATTAATTACCCTACGCTAGTTACCTGCTGTCGAATTCGAGCGTGGAGCCAGCGCGATCATTATCTACTTAAGCGTATTTATTGGTTATATTGCCTCCCCCCCATCACAAGTGATTTCGTTCGCAGATGAGGTACTTACGGTTCGCACAAAAGTTTAATTTATAACGTTTAATTGTGTCGCGCGCTTTTAACGTTTAATTAACTGTTAACGTTTAATTGTGCGAAGTTTACTTAAAACTCTTATTAGCCGAGCGGCGTTCATAATGCAACGCGCCAAATATGTGTAGCCATTCATGTGTCGATACTTTTCGGCCGATGTTTTGTGAACGCCGCGAAATTTTTGTTGGTTCTATTTTTTTTGTTTATTGTTTTTTTTTTTATTCGGCCGGTTACATTTATTACTTTGGCTTATTATTATTTTTTAATCATTATTTTCATTAAATTTGAACAGTATAAAACTCGCATGTATGTACTTGGTTTTGTATGTGTTAGGTATTATTTTTTCTGTTGATCGTTCTTAGTCCTTAGTTTATTTTTTGTTTCGTTGCCTATTGAAGTGTTGAGCATGTGATAGAACGGTACGGACCATGCAAATTGAACATTTTGAGGTACCGTTGACAAAACCAAGTGCCCTTGAATCGTAATACCAAGTCGATGTTCATTGTAAGCTTGACGAATGTATTTGAAGCAAAAAAAAGCAAGAAAGTCAAAGTGCGCCTAGTGCTGTTCGTTCGACTTAATTACGTCAATTAGGTGGTACCTAAGTTTAGTGATGGACAATTTGTCACTCATGTGTAGTAGGATTTGACGGTCTTCGGACGAAAACTGAGTATAATCTCAAGCATCTAAATGTTCCCTAAAATCGACGCCAAATTCTCTTTAATCGCCAATTAAATAATATTAAGACGATGAACAAGTAAGCGCTGGTTGGGTGAACGTTAGGAGACCATTGTTTTAGGAAATTGTAAAAAAAACTGTTTTCTTTTATTTTAAGTAGAATCTTGTGTTGATAGCATGTATAATTTGTTTTTTTTTATTATATTCGCGTTAAGAAATATGTATAAATTTGTTTTCCTCTAATTTTATTATTTGTGTAACTATACCCTACGTTATTGATAATAGAATACATTAATTTTTATGTATGGAATATTTTTGGTTCTTTATTTACCTTATTTTCCTTTTGTTTTGCTTATTTTTCTTATGTTGCCACGTTGATTAGTCGGTCAATTTTGAGGTTATGTGTGACGATTTAGCGCGCGCAAACATCTGACCTCATCATAACGTAGTGTTCGAGTAACATAGTGCTATATTAAGTGAAAGTAATTGATACATTGTCTTTGTCAATTTTTCCATAATTCAACAGTTGACATATTTACAGTTACCTTTAAAACGAAACAACTTATGTCCATAAGGTAAAGTTACGAGGCCTGTGGAGATAAGATGTTTCGCGCAAACAATCCTTGTAAATGCTCAGTGCTTCCGAAAAAAATTCTAATTATATTAAGATTAAAATGCTCGCCCACAAAAGAATGACGCCTTATCGCAAAAAAGGCCTTCGATTTTACGCACGCAGTTTGAAGATAATGCATTAAAATAGTTCGCCCATACTTATGCCGCATTGCCTTATTGCAAGTGTCTTGCATTCAAATTAGGGTTAAAGTGAAATCGTTGAATTTATGAGCTCAGTGTGTCACATTTGGACCGCAATTGTTTAATAGAAGAATTTCAATACGGACAGGGCTGATTTTGATTGGAATTTATAAGGATAAAAGAAGGGAAATTAATACAAATCCTTTTTTTTTTTCACTAATCAACGTTTGCGATGATGTACCATCGAATTATTATATACGAAGAAAATTCTGATTGGACGGAGCTCCGTATACAGCGTGTCGTTACCATCGCGACAATAAATGAACACACGTCCAACGCTACTTGCCAATAATCATAAAAAAATATTAACGTTAAATAAAATCCATAATTAAAAAAAAATATTTTTCAAACAAACTAATTAGGTAAAAAAGAAATAAAATTGTAACATCCTATACAAGTCGCGCCACAGCGTCGTATTACAAGCCTCTCCTTCTAACAGTATGTTTTGTCTCTTTTAAATTCATTCAACCCATTCATATGCTTTGTGACCTTTACAAATGAACTTTACGTTACGCTTTTATAGATGAGGGTGTTCTAAAATTCTTTGTTTTGGAAAATTTAATAACTCTGTAAATATTGATGTTTAAAGAATTTAACTGTTTAATACAACTTTAAAAAGTTATCCCCTATATGTGTGTTCATTTATTGTTGCGATGGTAACGACACGCTGTATAATGAAGTCCGCGTCCCATTTTGTAGTGAATGTGGCAATACCTGTCGCGACACTGCCTTTAATAGGTGAAAGTAGTTTAATTTTACCTCCATTAAGGGCTTCCCTGAAAAAGCGTGCAGCGGTTTAAATGTGCATACTGAATTCGTAAATAACACAAACACCACTCTCATCAATTTATATCAATTAATTCGTACGTATTTTATATTTAGAAGTAACGAGCGATCGGTATCAAAGCTCTGCAAACTTGTTTGTTTTTACACTGGCCGGTAAGAGGGGAGAAATGAAATGTAATTTTAATGAAATTAAATCATAAATTAAGTGTGCGCACTGCTTTGAACACGGTCCTGGCAACGTGTGGATATGAAACGCTTTCACACCGTCACAACTTGTCACACCAAACCAAGTGAACCATTCCTATCTACATCTAAGGGTTTCAATTATTTCCAATCATAACGGGATGGAAAAATTCGTACAAGCAATATTGGTGACGGAGTGTGGAATCGATACCGAACACAATCAGCAACATGCTTCTTGTATACGATAGTTAAGTATATAGAATATATTTTTACGCAGCAATACACAGTAAATCGTAGCTGGCGAGCTTAAATTGGAGCTGAGAAATATGTCCGATGCACGGTATTTTCGCGTATTACTTCATTCCAACACTTTTTTAAGAGTATAAATTGTTAGAAAGCATTAAGCATGGAATTAACTTTCATCGTTCGAATATAAAACATTTTGCCACCCTTTATTTCTTTATCGTTTAATCAAGAAAAGCTTAAACTCGTCCGGTAAAGCTTTAGAGGACCAAATGTCGTGGAACTGAACGGGTCGTTTACTCTTAACACGTGCAAGTCTACCAATCACAAAGCTCGCCATGCTAAGCGCCTCAAAAAATAACATGATTCTAAATGAAATACCAAAGATAACTTTACATTTACATAAATGTTTTATCGATGTTAAAGATGTATTTTGAGGTTAACTTTAATATATCTATATTTAGTATTAACACATTAACAATACACCGATCGGGAAAGAAAAAAAAAACGCAGAATTTTTAGAGAACGTAATAGCATTTACTGTACTTAGTTAAAATGCCTTGTAATTTTAATATGCAATAATGATAGTTTCCAAACGTTAGCTCGCCGACGGCTCCAATTTGCATTTGATCGTCTGCAGAGGTCCTGTGTTCTTTCACGGGTAAGTTGTGCGACGGGTAAGTTGTGCGATTGCCTCACGTCACAAGAGGGGAATTGACTTTGATTATTACATAGTTGAATAAAGTTCAAAGTGAAACTTAAATTGTGCCTTAGTGGGAAATCGGTCAGCCTCCAATTTCGTTTGGATGCTAATGATTTGAACAAGAGTTATTGGTTACGTACAATATATTATTGTCATAAAGTCGTCTTTCGTAATAGGTGGCTCCGTAGAATGTTCTCGTATCTCGCGCACTGTAATAAGCTGCACGAATTGTAACGAGATTACGTTATTTCGAACTGAGAATCCCTTTCTGAATTATAGTTGAAACAAAAAAAAATATTGCAATAATGGTTAAATTATTTTGTTTTATTGGATGTTGTAACTGATTATTGATTATATTTACATTAAATTATTATATTATATACGTAGAGCGGTATATGTAGTAGCAATAAAATAAGCGTGGCAATAAGGTCTAGTGGATTCGCTTTTGTGTCTTTAAGTAATTAAGTAGTACCTAAGATGTATAATAGAGTACCTATCCTACGTCCCCACTAGTAGACCAGACGCTGTACACTGCTTAACACAAGTACGTACGCTAAGTTCAAATTCTCGACGTTTTTATAGTATATATTTATATTTTATAATGCGTAATAAAAGTCACAGTTAATAAAAGTAGAACGAATTATACTAAGTGTATTTAATATTTCACCAAACGCTAATTATTGTTGTCCGGCGCGATCTTCGTAGATACCTGTTTAATTACGATATATGCTAAATAATTTCTTCCTTTTGAATAATAAATCGTACAGCGTGGACGTTTCACGCTTATTCTTTCTGCAATGTACTAATTATTCCTTGTCTTATTTCATATACCGCATGAAATTGTTTAGCGTAAGATAAAGTGCCAAGAATTTCAAATCCTTTCCCAAGTGCAATTCATTCCCAATTTTTGTACCCTAATACTTTAAACATTGTATTGTTGTTACGTGCAATTCCTTCTTCATTTTTGTACCTTAATACTTTAAACAATGTATTCTTACTTTAAACTGACATCATCCAGAGCCCTTCATGTTCTTCAATGCCAATTTCGTCTCGCTTAGCAAAATTAAATTACGGCAGGATACTTTTACAGAGTCGATATTTTAATTTGTTAGCTGTGCTGATAATTCTCTTAGGTATCATAAATAGGTTAAGTTAATTTATAATTTTAAAACGTGTGAGATGTAACAATGAAATAAATACCGTAAATGACGTTACACATTTTATATTTTTCGCAAATGCGACCGTAAAAAGTATCCTGCGAAGCGATAGTGAGAGTAACTTGTGAGGTTAAGGAAACGGCGTAACGTTCGACCGTTATTAACGTTAACGATATTCTGAATTATGTTTTGTAGTGAACGTTTTTACTCGGGAATACGTAGTCGGTAAGTGCGTTGGTACCGTTGCTTCCGCGGACGCCCGCCGCTCACGTCGACTATAGAGCGAAAGTCCTGGAAGCACCGCCGGGCCGTTTCGTCTGTATTTAGCGAGTGTATAAAACTAAGGGACAAACTAATTATAGTGTGAAATTGTTTACGAAACGCCCGCGATGGGCGCTATTAGGCGGGAAATATTATTTTTCTTAGATCACATTATATTGTAATGAAATCGAAATGATTATAGAATTAATCGCGGCACGGCGGCTTCTCGGATCGCAGACGCAAAGGCCAAAGAGCAAATGGATATTTTTTTACGAGCCGCGACCGCCCCTCGACCCGAGAGGCCGCCCGCCGCCCCCTATTTGTTATGTTTAAGAGGAAATATCTATTGTCTATTCCAATGGTTGAATAACTACCGACACTTTTTTATATTACAATAATTATAGAAATTATTATTGAACGTGCCTCGTTTCTCTTTTCCCTTCCCTTATATGACATTCTGGTGAAACTTTCAAGAATCGCATAATGTACACTACGGTAAGTATTTTAATGTGGAACGAAACGTTTACGATTTACATGTTAATAAATTATTACTGACTCTGGGTTAATAAAAACAGGGAAGATTCGAGATTTTATTGTTTATTAAAATTCAATTTCTGACGTGTTTCTTCTTTTTCTTCTTTTTATTAGAATGCGATTCTATTAGATCGTCGATTTCTTTGCTGTCGTCGCCCAAACGTTTCTCGCCGCTGAAAGAAAATGTGACATTCGCATTTCTAATAATTTATAATATCGTGGTCTTAATCACTTTAGTGGCGCATCTAATACAAATTTTAAAGTTTGTGTTTTGTACAATAAAAATATTAATCAATAATTAAAACACAGGTATGTTGTAAGAAAGGACTCTAATGTCAAAAATACAAGAAAGAGATAGACAAAATAAATATACTAAATTTAAAATATGGCAGCAGTCTCTTAACTTAACCTAAAAAAAAAACCGTAATTTTGTTAAATACGTTGCACGAATTGGCAAGCTCGTCTGGGGAAGTAAAGCTTTCGCGTTTCGTCTGGTGAGTGAACCGGGGCCACTTGTTTAAAGGTTGCCAACGCATCCGCAAACATCTCAGGTGCTGTAGATGTATGGGCGGCGATATCCACTTAACACTTAACTGATGACTTCGGCGTCGGGGGTCGTGGGTTCGATTCCCACACGGGACAACTATTTGTTTGGCCCACAGATAGTCGTTAAGATAGATAAACGTTGTTACAACACAGGATAATGTAATCCTAGAGTAAGTGTAATGTTTAAAAAAAAAAAAAAACTAAAAATATTGGGGTGGACCGCCTGCTCGTTTAACTAGTTTTAACCTAAATAAAACACATGTGATAAGTCGCGGACGAAAGGTTTCCGATGCTATTACCTTTTAACGGATACGAGAGTCTTCTGTTTGGACGTGGCGAGTGCTTGGTTCCAGTCGAGATCGCTGCCCTTGATGCGGTACTGGGTCAGGTCTTCGCCCATCAGGCGGGACAGCTCTTTGCGCTGTTTACGCTCCAACTCCTAGAATGTGAGATGAAAAATATTATTATGTTATTTACTTTTTGGATGGAAACAATTATTAATAATAATTAATTAACAATAATAATTGTTGCTATAAAGGACTTCACGAAAGAGAAGTGAAAAAATCTCTCCCATGGGATCCGATGCTTCGGTGTGAGTGTTTATTACACGTTCGTTTACACAATGTATATTATTAAATGGCAAATTATTTTTTTAATTGTATCGACCGTATTTTTTATTCAAGTTTCGTAGAGGGCACAGTTCTCACAGGAAACCAGCGTGAATTAGTACTATATACTTTTGCGTTGTTTATGGTGAGTGAGGTAACCGGGGATAAATGTTTTAAAAGGCTAGGAAAATACATTCCTCAGGTGTCCGCGAGCCCAGTAATCACTTAATATCAGGTGAATGCAAACCTTTCGTTTAAAAAAGGGCATACAATTAAAAGAAATATGAGCAATAAAATGTGGTCCACAGTCTTAAAAATATGGAAGTAAACGCAACAAGCATTCGATGAAATAAAATGAATGAATCAAACAAAACACATTTATTCCTCGACTTGCACATCACTCAGTACCAGGCAAGCGAGTACCTTCGCCGCTTTGGATAGCTCCTCGTTCAAGCTCTGCTTCAAGGGTCCGTCTGTTCGCACGTCGGAGGTTTTGTCTTCTATCCCGATCTCCTTGGCCACGGTGTCTTCTAGAACGGAGTTCACGGCCGCGTTTATCTTCTTGCACGCCTCGTAGAACTTCGCGAGGATCTGGGAGCCGGGCAGGCCCAGCTCCGACGCTATGTCGTCTACGTCCTTCATTTGGAAGCCCATCGCGACGAAGATCACCTGAAATGGCCAAAGTTTGTGGGCGTCACTACGGCGAAAGTACCGTTGTGCTAAAGCACAAATAGATGGCGCACAAATAAAATATTACTATGAAGTTATCACAATTATATTATTTGGTTCCCACAACGCCTCTTGCACCAGAAACTGTGGATTCGATATCAACTACTGGAAAAATATTGTAAAATACAGTGTTTTTTCAGTGTTTGGGTGTTGCATGTATGTGTTTATTTAGAAAAGAAAATTATGTTTAAGTATATTTATCACGTTTTACTAGATACCCATAGTACAAGCGTCTCTTAGTTTGGGACTGGATAACGTTGTGCAAAATTGTGTCCACATCTATATTATGCAGAACAATCCGGCGGGAGGGTCACCTGTTGCACGGCATCCAACTTGATCGGCGCTTTGGTGTGGAACACTAGATTTGCCAATGGGCAGAGCAGGTCGGTGATGAGACGGTAGTCCGCCTGCTGCCTGCAATAGGCCTCCAGCCGGCCCAAGTCATGGCTGGTCATCTGCTGGGACATCAGATCCTTCGTCAGAGCTGGAACAAAGGATACAGCTGATTTGGCTACCCGATGGTTTAGTGGATAGCGAAGCTGTCTGTTGCGCGGCGTGGGTTCGATCCCACTGGTGGTATTTTTTCTGTTATCTGACTTCTGACTTGACTTTCTACCCAACAACTTTCATACGAAATACAAATAAGCCATCACTCACCGGGCTTCTCTATCTTTACGTTGTCATTGAGCAGAGCGCTGAGCGCCAGCGAGGAAGGCAGACTTCTAAAGGACCTCGCCAAAAGTCTCGACAGCCGCTTCCTGAAGTCGCAGCTGTATGCAGACAGCCAAGCGCTGTCCGAGAGCGAACGGAGCATTATGCAGGAATGCTCGCCAGTCAGTTCGTTCGCCTTTTGGCTGATTGGAATAAACGAGATAGACAATCTTAAACGGTTTTGTAAACGCTAAAATAAACATGCTGATATGCAAATAGAAATATTTTCGAAGCGAAAAGGTGGGTAAAGCTAAATTATCCTCTAGTGAAATTATTGCAAAGATTTCAAATCCGTGTTGTAGGATAATAACATAACCGAAATAATAAGAAATAATAACATAATAAGTACCCATAACCGAAACGTCAGAGGAAGTTAAAAATGACATAATGTAATACTAGAATAGCCAAATTAAAAATAATAAAAGCTTTGAATAATATTTAACAATCAACAAATTTTTTTTTGTGTCAGAAGGTGGGTGGAAAACGACCTGGCGGTTCACCCGATGTTAAGTTATAACCGCCACCCATTCACATTTGCAACACCCTTAGGGTTGCAGATGCGTTGCAAAAGTGGACCCTGGCCACCTCACTCACCAGACGAAACGCAGAAGTATAACCGCTTTCACTTCGCGCCGGTCTTCTGTGAGGTGGTACTTACCTTACCCAGTTACTTACAGTTTCTTAGAGTTTAATTTATGACTTACTATTTTTATTGTCTTGTAGTCGCACATATTAAAGAAAGTATGAATAAATATTGAAAAAATTATATAGAGTATTACATTTAAAGAACGGCGTAACTGCCAGTTTAAATATTCGATCTACAGTTAGATTTGGTTACTGGACATAAAATTTGACTAAAGCATTATGGAGCTCAATGTCAAATACCTACCGCTAGTAACCAAATCTTTCTGTAGATAGAATATTAAATCGATCGTAAAACCATGTCTATGGAACCAAAAACCGTGCGATGAACGTGCAGTCAGACAAGAAATAGTAAAAACGCATGAAAATACCTCAAGTAAACTGGCACATATTTCTGAGATTTCCAAAATTTGAGCAACGACTCCGTAAGGCCGAAACTTGTGCCCAAGTAGTCCAATTGCTCTGCGCGGACTTCTGTCAGCCTTTTCAAAAGGGTCGGCGGTTTGGTCCTGTTAAACAAAACCAACAAAAATTTACCAACTAACTGAAACAATAGATGTTGTGTTATAAAAATAAAACCGGCCAAGTGCGGATCAGACTTGTCAGATTATCTATAAAATCGGTAAAAAAAATAATGTCTGTTGTATCTGAGGGCACTTAAATATTTTTTATTTTATTATTTTTTTTGTAGTATTTGCGGTTATAGCTGCGACAGTAATACATCTTCTGTGAAAATTTCAACTGTGTTAGACAGTATCGCGGTTCATGAGATGCAGCCTGGTGAGAGACGGACATAGGGTCCCGTTTTGCTTTTTATTATTCTTCTTTCTTCATTAAAATCCATTCAGTAGTTTTTGTCTAAATGAGTAACAAGCATCTTAACATCTATATATACAAACTTTCGCGTTTATAACATTAAAAGTAAGGATTGTAGTTCACCTGGGTACTATGGTCTCGGTTTGAAGAGTGTCAGAACGCCCTTTGGCGAATTCTTCATCCTCTGAGGCCTCTTCGTCTAGACAAGGGATTTCCCCCGAATAGTAGGCGGCCAGTTGCTGTAGAGCCCGCTTTCCGTACCCCATCTGCATGGATTCAAAGTCAAAATCACCTAATGCAATATAGGCTTAATTTAAGCTCTAATTAAACAGTCGGTTAACTGTTCACTAAAGTAGATCCGCCCAGAGCAGAACCGGCAAGAAAATCTGCGGTCTTATTATCTCTATTTTAATGATACAATTATAAAAACCTATTTAAGGACTCGGTGGCGCCGTGCTAAGCTATTGTCTTCGGCGTCTAGGGTTGTGGGTTTGATTCTCAAATGGGACATGTATTTGCGTGACCTATAGATAATTGTTCCGACACTGGGTGTTTGTTTCCTAAGGAGGGTTGCCGTCAGGCGGGCGGCCGGTTTTAAAAAATATAGCCAAAATCGCTTACAACACGATTCAAATGTTGTGCCGACCCCACTTAGGTGGGGCAAGGGCAGGAGGATGATGTTGACCGTCAAGCAGTTTATTTGATAGACGGTTGCGCCGTTGTTAATAAAAAGGTGATTAAAAAAATTTCGCGATTGTACACAAAAGTGTTGAGGGAGCGAGACAGAGATTAATTTAGTTTGGGGCGCGACGGAGAGCGCAATACACACGTATACCGTGTTCGGTGTGAAGACGTGGGTTCGATTCCCACAACGGCGAAAAACTTTTCGTTCCTTTTTTCTACGTACACTGTTTAGGTCTATGATTACTCTCTAGCGGGAGGAGTGGGACTTAAGAGATATTGAATTCAAAGATATATACCTATACAGCGTGTCGTTACCATCGCGACAATAAATGAACACACGCCTAACGCTACTTACCAATAATCATAAAAAAATATTAACGTTAAACAAAATCCATAATTTAAAAAAAACATTTTTCAAACAAACTAATTAAGTAAAAAAGAAACAAAATTTGAAACATCCTATACAACTCGCGTCACAACGTCGCATTACAAGCCTCTCCTTCTAACAGTATGTTTTGTCTCTTTAAATTTTTTTTTTTTTATGGGAAAAGTTGTCAAACGAGCAGACGGTTCACCTGATGTTAAGTGAATACCGCCCATGAACATCTGCCACACCCGAGGGTTACAGATGCGTTGACAACCTTTTGAAAATTGGGCTCCGGCTACCTCACTCACCAGACGAAACGCGAAAGTATTTGTCATACTTCCACTTTACGCCGGTCTTCTGTGAGGACGTGGTACTTACCCGGACGGGCCTGCCCATTCGTGCAACAGCCGAGGCTGCTGTGTGGCCCTACCACCGTAGATACACACCACCGTAAATTCATTCAACCCATTCATATGCTTTGTGACCTTTACAAATGAACTTTACGTTACAGTTTTATACGTAAGGGTGTTCTAAAATTCTTTATTTTGGAAAATTTAATAACTCTGTAAATATTGATATTTAAATAATGTAAATGTTTAATACAATTTTAAAAATTTATCCCCTATATGTGTGTTCATTTATTGTCGCGATGGTAACGACACGCTGTATACCTACGATTACTCGCTAGTATGAGTACTCTCCCAGTAGGAGGGGAGGGACTAAAGAGATTGTCTTCGATTCCCTGCTAGTAGGATGGGTGGGACTTGCGGACGGGAGAGATAATGTACACAAGTGTCTTGAGGCCAATGATTACCCGCTGGTAGAAGGGGTGGGTCGCGATCCTGACGATCCTGGCGCCGGATAGTTTGGGGAAGTCCTTGTCGCCGAACTGCTCGCAGATGTTCCACGGGATGAGGTCTCCGGCCGCCTTCCGCCCGCGGCCGAGGCTGTCGCGCACCGTTCTGTAGCCAAGGAGGGCGTGACAGGCTCGTAAGTCCTTTGTCCACGAATGAACTGTATCTGTGGCGTCGCAACACAAAAAAAAACTGACCAAGCGCGAGTCGGATTTAACATTATAATTTACTAAACCAATTGGTAAGTACCTACAGGTTGCCTAGCAACCGCCTCGCGTTTGTTGTATTGGAGCCCCTTTATTTTTTTATTTTTTTCTGTCTGTCTTTACTATTTGTGGTTATAGCGACAACAGAAATACATCATTTGTGAAAATTTCAACCGTCTAACTACCATGTTTCATGAGATACAGCCTGGTGACTGACAGATGGACAGGCGGACAAACAGACAAACAGCTGTCGCTGGAGTCTTAGTAGTAGGGTCCCGTTTTACCCCTTGGGTACGGAACCCAGAAAAAGTAAAGTGAAGCAAGAGCGAAGGCCTCGAGGGCATTGATGACCCGATTGGCCGAATGGGTTCGAACTCTTAAACTCTTAAAAATAAAAAAAAAACCGTGTTAACCGACTTGTCGGCGATGTTCCCCTCGAGGCACATCTGCACCACGCAGAGCACCTCGGGCATCGACGTGGTCATCGCCGGTGTGGGAGCGAGAAGGACGAACAGACAGTGCGCCGGCGCGTCCGCCAACAGCTGTATGTCGTTCGGGCTGTTCTGTTGCGAAGGCAAATATTACATAGGCAGGCACACAAACAGACATTCATGTGGACAGTTGGTTCCAGTAATAGTCCAATTCACCTTTTGTTAAGGCACTACGACAATTTATGGGTATGTTGTGTCGGTCCAAAGACTCATGTAAACTCGGAAAACATAAACGCTTCTCTGAGGTTGGTCAAAAACTTTGTGCAGCACAGTTTATAGATATCGCAGGCATTACGTGTGGGGTAGAGTCCTAGTTCGTACCAAAAATCGCTTCGTCTCACTTCATACGGTTAGAGTGAGACGAAGCGATTTTTAGTGCACATTTGGAAACAGTTGGAACTGCGTTGCTATGCGACTGTGTGAATGTAGCAAAAACTCGACTTTTGCACTCGACGGTACGTCCATAGAATTCGTGCATTAACTTCACCCGAGCGTATTTAAAGTTGCGCCTATACACGTTAAATGAGAATGTATATATCGTATTCCGTATCGAAGTAACAGAAATTGTATTCGACTGTACTTACACTGTAAACACACCTCATAGTTGCTAGCCACGTATAAGGGTACGAGGTGGCGCAGAAAGGCCTCCGTCAATGGTCAACTTATGGCAAGCGTTTCCCTGACCCCACCTGCCGAACTAATTAGACGTTCTCGGAGCTCACCTTATAGTGGCTGGCCACGTATATCGCCACGAGGCGGTGCAGGAACGCCTCCGCCGCCTTGTGGTAGCAGAACAGCGCGTCCCTGTTGACGCGCAGCAGCTCGCAGGAGGCGGGGGGCGGGGCGCCCACGCCCATCGATGGGCTCGGCGCCTCTAAGCATAGCAGCGCATTCAGCCAGCGCTCCACTGGGTCGCCGGTTCGGTACCTGATCGGCTCCTCGAGTTCTATCTGCAACGATGTAATAATAGTAATAGTAGTAATAAATATTTCGAAGATATGTGAACTCGGCCGAACCGCAATGGGGTCGTGCGGTGGTAAAATAAAAAAAAATATATTACAGGAAACATTTCCACACAACGCTTTCCAGTCCCAAACTAAGCAACGATGGTACTAGACTAGATAACTGATAAACATGCCTAAACATACTTTTCTTTCGTAAATAAATACGTATTAATATATTAACAACCAAGACACTGGAATAATACTATGTTCATCACAAAAAACTTTTCCAGTAATGGGGATCGAGCTCACACTCTCTGGCGCAAGGTTACCCATTAGGCCAATGGTCTTCTACGATGAATCATGAAAGGCAGTTTTTAGTTCAAATTCCCCTGAACCTTAATCAGCTTTAAATACGCCGGCGTCCTTAACTGCCGCGGTAATTCCCCGGGGTCCCTTCGAAGCGGTACATCCCCGAGCGAGCCAGCCGAGAATTCACTGAACGGGAACAGTGAATGACTAGAATCTAATAATATTTGTAAAATACTTGGCAATCGTAACTGGCAAGCGCAGGTCAGGCTTCGCCTAGTGTGGTGCCAACGCACAATGCGCTTAAGTGTGCACTGCGCAAACTGCACCTGAATCAATTTCGCAATGACCGGTGCTTCATTCAATAAAATCGACCACCGGCAAAGCGCGGCGCCTTTCGTCGTGCTAACTTCGGACCGATTGTCGGAACTTTTGTAGAACCTTTATCAAATATAATTTTATATTAAATCGTTTTTTTTTTAAGATCCTCCGCCGCGCGACCGTTAGTTGGTGTGATTCTCTTTGTCGATAGACATATTTTAGTTTTCAATCGACCACCCACCGGCGGCGGGGCGTCGTGCTCCGTCTGCAGCTGCGCGAACAGCTTGAGCGAGAGCGACCGCCCGGTGCCCTCGTACCCAGAGACCGTCGAGGAGAGCAGCGCGAGCGGCGCCTTGCGGGCGGCGGCCGACACGTGGGCGATCGGGATCGCGGCCGCCTCGTCGACTAGTACGAGGTCGGCGGCCGCGAGCAGCGAGTGGTCGTCCGGCGTTATGTACTGCGGGCGTGTTTAGATTTTGAAGGGAAGAAGGGAAGTTATTTAGCATCGTCGAAAATAAAAAATAAGACATTCAGGAAAAAAAGGGATGAACATTAAAATCTTCCTTACTAATATTATAAAGGCGAAAGTTTGTATGTGTGGTTGAATGTTAATGAAACTTTACAATAATATAGCTTATACATCAGAATAAGACATAGACTATAATTTGGCATTAAATGAAATGTTATTTGAGTTGCCAAAAGGATTGTTAAACACTGAATTGACCAGAATGATCTTCTTAATGGTCAGAATGACTCACTTGGACCGTCTGCCTCGAGTTCCTGGCGACGTTCACCCTGACTATCGCCTTCTTGAAGTCCGGGTTGGTCGACCTGACGATGTTGTAGTCTATGTGCTCCTGGTACAGGCAGGCGTCGAGCCCCTTCAGCACGAACTCGAACAGTGTGACCAGGTTCTCGGGGTGTGGTGACGTCACGTAAATGTTGACGTAGCCCAGGGCCACCGCCGCCGCCACCGCCAGCCCGAGGCAAGCGGATTTGCCGCGCCCTCTGGCGGCCGTAAGGCAGTGTGGTGGCCTAAGGAGAGCGCGAAGTATAATGTGTGAGAAAGCGCGTACGGCGAAGGAAAGTGCGTAGTTAATCGTCGTGTGACGACTGTGACTCATCTTTAAACGCCTCGGTGGGCGCAGTTGCCGAGGCATTAACTTCGGGCCGGGGGTCGTAGGTTCGATTACCAGACGGGACAACTATTTGTGTGACCCACAAATAGTTGTTTCGTATTTGGGTGTTTGTCCGAGTGAAATTTCTATTTCTAAAACTTTCTTACAACACAGGTTAATGTTGTGCTAAAGTAAGGGCAGTGTTTAAAAAAATAAATAAATAAAGAATGAGTACTAAATTCTTGTTGTGAAAATGTTTTCAAATTCGGAACGTACCTATAGTTTTGACATAAAAATTGCATTTCGTTCCGGTTTAGAAAAAATGCATTTTAGGGATATTCTTTATAAACAAAACAGTAGGTGGGACGGCAGTCAAGTGCTGGCCAGTTCTGAATTACAAAAATCAAAATAAATAAAAAAAAAAGTTGCGCTACATAGCCTAACATCAAAATGTCATTTTGCAACATTACCTTGATTGTTTGTCTGCAAGCGTGTTTATGAGCGCAACGAGCGCCGTGGCCTGATCGTACGTGCGACATAATGCGACTAGTGGACCGGCCGGCGGAGTGTCGGAGAGAGAAGAAATCAGGTCAGTCAGTTTTGGATTTATTTTCTAGAAAAAATAAAAATAAAAGTCCATGGATTTTTGTGTCCATTGATTTGTTATTAAAAAAAATTTAGAATGAGCAACATGTAACAAAATGCAAAATGGTATAATAGTAAACAGTTCTACGAAGATAACTTTATAAATATGTGGGTCAAACGTATTTGCTGCTTTACCATTCATTTGGTTTTAATTAATAAGTATATTTGGTGGTGGATACTATTGAAATTTTTACAGATTGCAGATAGCAAATAAAAAGATTTTATACACGATTAAATAAAATATGATACCTCGGGAACAACATCAACAGGTTCAATTTGAGCTGTCTTCGATGAAATAGGCAATACAGTGAGCGAGTCATCTAGCACCAGGCAACGGGGGTTATCCGCAAGAGACAACAAGAAACGCTCATTGAATCTATTTACCACTGTATCATATGCCTCTGTTTTAAATCTTAAAAAATAAATTATTATTTATTAATGTCTTAATAAACAAAATCATTATAAATGTCTCAAAATTGCTTATGGCATTAAACTTTGCAAGAAAAAAATAATTAATACCTGGAGTGGACATCCATAGTGATGGAATGCAATTGCCTAAGCGAATCCATAGTCTTGAGAAGGAAAATAATTAGCCCCCCTCCTTCCACAGTCTCAATGGTACGAGCCATTAAATTTGGTGTCAATGCTTCAAAATCCTGAATATAAACAAAATATAATGGAACATGTTACTTACATTACTACACATGTAACATGGAAACATGTTACATATTGGTAAATTTTTTTCCATATTAATCAAATTTTATTACAATAGAATTGAATTGAAATTGAAATATTGACTTTCAGTAAAACATTGTTAAGCTAAGCATATTTAAGAATATTTTTATAAATTTACAAGAGCTTAATAATTGAAGAAAAACTAAAGATCTTCAATTCACACTACCTTTTCTAAGCTATAACTTAAGACTAACCTGCAATACACATACGCCATATGTCTGTCCAAGCATGGCATGACTTTCTGAATAGTACCTTCCATGAATAGTTGTAGCTACTCTGAATGCATCAAACAATGACTCTTCGGATACGTCCAGCTTTCCTGCTGCTATTTTCTTTGCTCTTTTCCTTCCATGACTAATATGAAAGACAATTTTTAGATAAACATTTGATTTAATTGTTACAAAAGAAACTTGCTTTAAATAATTATAGTATACCTCATCTCTATAAATATGCAACATTCAATTACTTAACATCAAAATAAGTATAGGTATAAAGGTTAACATGTAAATGAGAGTAACACTTCAAATATGTGAATCTTACTTGCTTATAGCTTCATCTTTATTTTTGTAGCACCACAATACTGTTGGTCGTGATTTTACAGTTGATTTTACAAGCATGTCATATAAAATGGGTACCTAAAAATCAAAATTTAAGTAACAATTATATACTAAATATGTATTAAACATGCATCCACCTGTTTCTATTCCAGGTTTGCCAATTTCTCTTTTTGGATTATGCAGAATTTGAGAAATTATTTTTACATAATTTTAACAGTCGGAAATTGCTCATGTAACTTCATTAACAACAGGTGTATGTTGCATTAAAGTTAATTTATTTTATTAAATAAATGATTACTACCATTCTAGAAAATAATTCCAGTATCATGGAAGGTTGCACAAACGTGAAATTTACATGCAATTTAATATTATTATCAGAATTGTTTTTACAGGTTACAATTTTTGTCACACATTAATGAAAAAATTATAAATAACAAAGTTGTTCCCTGTGGAAAACAAATCAACAACACAATGGACAATAGTAGTTGGAAAAATGACCATGCATTTTTTTTGTGCTATCTGTGCAGTTTTAAAAATAAAGGACAATATTTGTGTATATAACACCAGATTTACCCATGCTTTAGGTGTGTCATTAATTCTCAGTTAAATGTATAGTAAATTACTAAACTTATGTTATGCAAATAAGTAATTTAGCTATCAAGAATGGCATAATATGCAACTTCGATGTGATAACTAACATTCCATTTTTTCACTGCATTTATGTTTTATCATAAACTTTGAACTAAGAATATTAAACTTATAACAATTGGTCTATTAATTTACTTTACTTTTCCAACTTTTAGTAGTTTAAAAATTATTTCTGCTGATATATAAAAAGTTAACACCTACCTGATCCCGACTTTTATCACCAACAAGCAGGAACATTGTACGGTGGCCCAATTTAACGCCATTTTCTATCATCACACGTATACGGTTATCTATTTTCTTTTTCACCATTTCTGCGCAAGGTAGAACCCTTAATACTTTTTATTTAACGCACACAACAACAAAATCAAATTCTTATAACCTATAAACCGCACGTTTATCACATTTACTTGACAGTTGACTTGACATTGACAGTTCTGAATAAGGATGCATCAGCTTACTTACCTTGTTATGAACTCGAGTTGTTACCATTATTGTGTCATTGGCGATATCATAAGGACCGCCTACTGCCTTAGAAATAGAAGAGGAAGAACTCAAGTTGACTCATTATGTAGAGCTCGTGTTTACTTGGATTGGATTCGAAGTCGAGTTCAGTAATTAATTCAGCTGAGGTTTATCCAAATTACAGCAGTTAGTTCCAAATAAAACACCAAGGCTTGCCAACACCTTATAAAAAATGAGATTACTGTTTTTAGTTCCGGGCTGTGACAGAATTACGACCCGAGACCGAGTGATGAAAACACTTCTTGACCACCTTATTTGCCTTTTAGTTGAGATATTTAATGCACTGCGCGATAGCTTCACCTTCTCCAATATGCGAAAGAAAGCACAAGCCATCGGCATTCGTTGCGTCTGATTACCGACCTATTTGTTTTTTCACTACTATGGGAAAAAATTACGGACTCATTATCCTAGGAAGGAAAAATTTAATTAGCACTCAAGCGGTGAACTAGAAGAGTTCTAGTTTATCGCCTCACGGAGCACATTTTCTCAAATCGTCAACTCCAAGGCACTCTGTGAAATCAAGGCAACTCCCTGATACAAATCCACTTGAAACCAATACTGAGTGTTACTGTTAAGACGAGTTACTTCGGGAAAACGCTTAGTTCATCATGTCTAGTCAGCAGCTACAATTCCACAATCCCCAAAATGATACGATCAGTGAAAATTAGAATACAGTTAGAAATATCTTTCTATTTTCTAAATTAGTGTCATATATGTGCGTTAACTCTATGGGTTTAATGTTAAATGGCCTTTACCTAGTTATAAAGATAGAAAATAAAATTAAGTTGCCTAAAATTAAAACATGCAATAAAAGTTGTTAAGTACTTTAAGACTTAATTTAGTTATTTTGTGTATGCTGTATAATCTACTCCCATCTTATGTTATAACCTTTAGTATATCTACGTTCGCGTCGCTTAGCTTGTATCTTTACTGTCACTGTCAAAAACGTTAAATATCTTATTTTTAAACATTATTAATAATTATTCTACGATTTATTTACCTTACCATAATCAGTAACAAATATGTGCAACTCGAATAAGATTACTATTACAGAAAGTTAATTTTATAATAGATACGAAGTGTTATAGAACTAGTATTATACCGTAAATCGCACGCCGCTATAAATATTTGAAAATGGCAAAATTTCAAATAAACACCAAATCTAAAGATTATTTAAAGGATAAAGAGGCGTTTTTAAAGGATCTAAAACAATTTAATGAAAGTAGAAAGTAATGGTTTTGTTTTTAAGTCATTAACTAGACGTTTTTTTTTCATAAGTTTTGTATTCAAATTTCAATCTTTATGTTTTAGCATACCATTTAAAATTCCTGTAGTTAATGGTGTTGAAATAGATTTGTTTCTCTTCTATTCATTAGTTCAACAGCGAGGTGGTGTTGGCAAGGTTAGTATTAGATGTAATGGTATTTTGTTACAAAGTAGCAGTTTACCCTAAACTGTGTTAATAGTAACATAATAAATTTATCATGTTTTACAATTTTATTTACTACGGATTAACTGTAGTTGTAAACAATGTTTACAATATATTGATATACAAAAATGTGCATGCTGTCCCTGTATACCCATCTAGTTAAGTTAGACTATTTTTTTAATTTATTGTAACAATTGTTATTAGTTTATTTTTAAATTTATGAACAATCTCTTTTTAGGTGAATCAAAATGATACATGGGAGTCCTTTTTGAGATTGCTCAGACTTCCTCATCCATGTGTAAATGGTTCAACTCTACTTAGAAGGATATATGGAATGTACTTAGAGAAGTAAGTATTAAAATTGCTTGATACATTTTTAAAAGAAGATATTTCATATAGCTAAATATAAAATATGTAATCACATCATAATGCTACTAAATAAAGCTATATAATTATAATTGTTTGAAAACATCTGTTTAATAATAATATAAAATAACTTTGACCGCAATGGTAATCTTTAATCTTTTCATTTTATAGTTGAATAATTTTCTATAATGTGTCTTATCCATTTTATGTTTTTCCAAAGTCAATGAGACTGGCATCTAACACTGCTACACAACTGACCACAATGGTTCTATCAAAGTTACATTTTGAACTGATAATATGAAAGAAGGTAGATAATAGATTATATTCAAATATTTTTAATAAGAGTCTGGAATAAGTAATTTTAATAAAGCATTGAACTGATGTTTTGATGAAAATGTGTGTGGAAAGTACAACAAAGTACAATTGCTTTCTTCAAGAATGAAGGTCTCCTAAAAGATGAATTTCATAGCCTTTCATAGCCAAGAAGTTTATCGGCTTATAATTTGAATTACTGTTGGATATAAGCAATAATATATCATTTTATTTATTTTGTTAATAAAAATGCTGCTTATATTCTTGTTTGTATTCTTGTTACAACATAATGGTCAAAGATGTGATTCTAAGCCCAAAGCCTACAGTTAAGTAATTTCAGACCAAGCTGTATTAATTGTCCCTTGGAAATGTAAATATAATTTTTTATGGGCATAAATACTTAACAATTATTTTAGGTATGAAAGAGCAAAGGGACCACCAGGTCGTGATGATGACAATGATTTGGATGATGATCCAAGGAGAGGCCGTGGTGGAGGAATGCCACGAATAACATTTGGAGGTGGGACTTACATATCAGGTAAATCTAAACTTTATTTATTAGTTCTTTTTTTCTAATTTAGTATTTGCAGTCTTAATACATGACAAATTGTAAAATTAAAAAGTTCATAACTTTTTGTTGCAGGTCTAAATTTGTTTTTATTTTCACCAAATTTTATCCATGTCCAACCATTATAGTCAGTCAGTAAGGTTATGCAGAGCATGATTGGTATTACTATATGTGGGTAATTTCCCATAGTCCATCCTGACAATAAAATTCGCGATACTCGCGTTTTATATAAAAAAAATGTCAAATTTTATGATATTATCTGATTGGCGATTCTGGTACTATAGGATGAGTTACATGATGTTACATTACATATATGTTTTATTCACTTTCAAGTATTATTTATAGAATTATAAACTTAATACTGTACACACAATCTTTTTCCAGCGTCTGGTGAGCCGCTACGTACTGGAACAAGAATTGCTGGCCCATCGGAGAGACTTACTCTATCTCTTCTATCACCTATGCCCAATGAGCAAGATTTTGCTATCAATGTTTGTACTGTATTGGCTGCCGATCATTCAAATCGGCTGCCATTAAGTACAACACCTCATATACTGGACTTTTTATTGGCTCATGCTGGAGTTTATAATCATTGTAAGTAAAGTAAAAATTAATACATAATTTATATAATAAGAAAAAGTGTTTTTAGAAATTTTATTTATTTCTTCTGTTAAAGATATTTTTTATGCTTCTAACACACACTATACTGAAATTTTTGGAAGCTATCTTAATATTCCCAATTTAGATTTATATGAAAAAGCATTTTTTTTAAATGAAGAAATGGGTGGCGGTTATCACTTAACATCAGGTGGAGCAGCTTGCTTGCCATCTTACATAAAAAAAGAATATCAACTAAAAATCTATCTACTAAATACCACTTATGTATAGACATAGTCTTTTTTCTTAGAGAAAAAGGACGTTAAATACAGTGGATAACAGTTTAATTAAATAACTTTTACAGATAAATGTCAAAAAGCTGTTTTCGGTCCATGAAGCCGCATCGTTTTTTCCAAACGCGAAAAAAGCAGTGTAAAAAAAAAAAAGGTATCAGACATAGTCCACCGCGAGGCCCCACTGCGTATTAGTGGACTACACATATCTTGGAAATATTTTTTCTTCTTATTATTTCGAAAGTGCGCAGGTTTTCTTAAGACGTTTTCCCTCAACGGTGAATGAGCACGTGATAAGTCAGCACCTAAAATTAAACGTGGATCGTATTCGGGTTGCCCGAGCGTATTAAATTAAAAAGTGAGCGCAGGGCTGGATTCAGGGGAAGGTAACCGCTACAGCCCTGGGGCCTCCACAATAGACTTCGGAAAAAAAATTCAAATTCAGACTAGTAAACAATAGTAAACAACTTTTCCTTTTATATTTTTTTTTCGCGTTTTACTTACAGTACTTTGTACAAACATGATTACATTAAATATTAACAGAAATCAATAGGAAATAATTGGGGGCCAAGGGGCCCCCACTTCTTTGTTGCCACGAGCTATCACGGCTGTGTAACTTGATACGAATAAAAAAAAATTCCAGCGAGCCTCCGCGACACCATCGGCCGCTCGTACTACGAGGCCCGCGGCCGCTACCCGCACGAGTTCTGGCAGCTGAGGGCCGGCGGCGGCGGCGCGAAGGAGCTCGCCGACGAGAGCAAGTTCGTGCAGCCGGGGATCGAGCAGCCCGAGCTGATGGTGCAGGCGCTGGCGGCGCACAACGCCCTCACCGACTGCCTCATGCACGAGGGGGGCGAGGTGGAGTTGGAGAAGATGATGGACGACGGCTCGGTACGTCTCCTACGAGGGGCGGACAAAGGGTTCACGCAATTTGCAATTTCTTGTGGAAGTGGTCGGGTAGTAAGTAACGACCACTGCGGCATAGATAGATCAATGTGGCCTTAGAAAACGTTGCCCCCTTATTGAAGGATAACATCATCCTATGTTGTAAGAAAGTTTAACGTACATAAATTTCACGTAGACAATCACCCAGATACGAAACGATTATCTGTTATTATGTGGGTGATGCAAATTGTTGTCTCATGTGGAAATTGAAGCGACGACCCCCAAAGCCAATACCTTGGCAACTGCGCCACGGAGTCACGATTTAAAGTGCATTTTAAATGCATTCGATTGTGCAGTAGACAATATTTAGGCCTCTGATCTGATTGGAAGGGGGAGACAGGAAATATAATCGCACAATGCGGTTAACAAACGCCAAACCAATGCGGTTGGTTGATTTTTAATAATTAGATAATTTGCTTTTAAATAGAATAGGAAGGCTGACATCAAACGTTATAGGAGTCCATTTTCCTTTTATTAGTCTGAACTTATCTCGCATTCAGCAAACTGAGAAGTACCTCAGAGAAGACCGTAGTGCAGTGGAAGTATTAAACTTTGACGTCGTCGTCGTCGACGAGGTATATGAGGCCCACTTTTTTAAAAGGTTGTCAACGCATCAGCAAGCGGTTGTTGTAGATGTCCATAGGCGGCGGTATTCACTTAACATCAGGTGAACTGCCTGCTCACTTGATAGCTTTTGAAGAATTAAAAAAAATACAGGACCTGCTCGAAGACTGGGTGACAGAGCCTTCAGATGAGAACCAGCTGTTCGCCCCAGAGCTGCCTGGCGGTGCCGGCTGTGTTTACACCCAAAGGGTTCTGCAGATCGCCTCTATAGTGCGCTCCCTCTCCTTCCACGAGGAGAATGTCCAGCATTTGGCGAGGAATACGACCCTCATAAGGTAAAACTAAGATCTAACTGACACTTAAAACATGTAGGAGTACATACATGAACACTGTAATCGGTCACCGAGATATTTGCATTGTTCCACGTTCATACTACATGCTCGTCGACACTTTTATAATATATACTAATCGCCTTACCACTGCAATAATGCACATTTCACCATAACTATAGATAAACATTTCTTAAAATAGCGAATTGTTGCAGATTTCTCCTACTCTGCGCCAACTGCTGGGTTGGCACGTTGCGTCAAAGTGGGTTGGATACGCTGGGCAACGTGTCGACGGAACTGATCATTAAGGTTAGTTCCAATTCATCAGATCGCAAAAGCTGAAGTTGGCTTTATCAATGACTGCTTTGTTATGATATCATATTCTGAATCCCGTAAGTTGATTAAAGAATAGTATAGAATCATGGGAAAAGTTGGCCTAGTCGGAGTTAAGTCCTGAATTCATTTACATCCGTCCTGTTGAGGTACTATTATAACAGCAAATATTGTAAAGAAAAAAATGCAATGCATTACATATGCTATATATTATTTTCAGTAGAAAATCTGTAAATGTATAAAATAAGTTCAGTTCTACTAAGATCCGTTAGAAAACTATCGCCAAGTTTTGCAAAGAGTAATTATTAATTTTGGTAATTTGGGGTGCTCTTTGGTTCATGTTTAAATCGTCGTCAAGGCAATAATAATAAAATCTATGTCAGAAATAACACTGTGAACGACTTGTCTATTGGTGATCGATACAATTGCGTGCAATGTGTGTCCAGGACCCCGCCACGTGTCTCATCTCGCGGCATATCCTGTCCACCATCCAGTCGGCCCTGGTCTCCCCTGACCGGGCCAGGGTGCTGGCCGCCTTGGAGCTCCTCAACAAACTGGCCCAGAACGAGGTCAACGAGGATGCACTGCTGAAGGCGCTCGAAGCGAAGGTTTGCCGTTACCTGACAAGTGCTCGACTTGTAATTTTGGATACTTTCAAATTGTGGATGCGACTCTAACTCAGGTTGTGGGGCCACTCGATTCAAGTCTTGATTAGTACTTGCCCTGTGCTAATTTTTCTTCTGTGTTCTTTTGTTTCGCAATATTTATTATCAATTAGTAATTAATTAAGATATGAAATAATAATGTTTTTACCAGGTTAAAAACACCAGGATTCGGATGTAAAGATCTCTAATAATTTGAAAGCAATATCCATATCCATGATCAGTGAACCACCAGCAGTATTAGTTCACATAAAAAAAGGGGAGCAAAATTTACGGAAACGACTGCGAGATTCGAATCCTTGCAGCGAAGAGTTGCGATAATTTTATCTACGTAATCTGGTAAACACATCTACAGTTCTCTAGTAAACCCGTGATAGTTGTCAAAGTTCTATAGATTCCTAATGAAGAGCGGATTGAACTTTCAGATCCAGTTGTATAGTAAACCAGTTGTTGCTGTTGGTAGTTGTCAAAGTTCTTTATAGCCCAGAACGGATTTTTTTTATGTAAGAAAATGGCAAGCGAGCCGGCGGTTCACCTGATGTTAAGTGATGACCGCCGCCCATGGTTAGTGAGGTAGCGGGCCCCGGCCACCTCACTAACCAGGCGAAACGCAGAAGTGTGACACTACCACTTCACGACGGTCTTCAGTGAGGGCGCGGCACTTCCCCGGGCGGACCTACCCATTCGTGCAACAGTCCACTGTTGCGTGGCCCTGCCACAGCTAAGGACAGCTAAGGTGGAAGCTCCATATTTGACGTGTCCCTCCCCCCAGGTGTACGGCGACGTGTGCGCGCTGCTCACTCTGCGCGACATAATGGTGCTCGTGTGCACGCTGGAGTGCGTGTACGCGCTCACTTCGCTCGGCGACCGCGCCTGCGAGGCGGTGGCCCGGGTGCCCGGCCTCGTGCACACGCTCGTCTCGCTCGTCACCGTCGAGGTGCGCCATTGGAGCCTTCCAAATTCGAATTGCGGTATAGGTGGAGCTCGTTGTTCGAAAATCGAACGTCGAAAAGAACGGGCGGGCCGTACAACGTTCCAAATTCGAATTGCAGTAGAGCGTATAAGTTGCAATTCTGTTTTTCGAAAATCAATCGTCGACAAAAGTGGTGATAGGTCTAGTGCACCTTTTTAAACGGTTTTATTTAGCTCAACCCGTACGGAATTTGTTTATTTATTTGGGTCAAAATTAGAAATTGAAATTTAAGCACCTTCCTGTTGTCAGATTGATCTGAAATTTGGTACACACATTTAATTTAGATGACAATACAATATTGTAGTTTTCAGTGCACATAAAATAAAACCGTTTAACTTAAAAGTTTTAATTATGTTGCGGTTTTATTTATGTTGCGGTTTTTAGAACATAAATTCAAATTGTAGTAGAACATGCAAGTTGGAATTCGATTGTTCGAAAATCAAACGTTGACAAGGGTGGAGTTGCGGCATTAGAACTAAATGAACTTAAGGCTCGCATGTAACCTTTCCGTTACTTCGTACTGCGCAAAGACGGAATATTCTATGCACCTAGTAAGTACCTGTCTTCGTTGTCAAGTCGTGACGTCACCCCTTGCTTAGCGCGCGCCGTATTGTTGACCCGTGACGTCATTGTGTGCGTGCGCAGGCGCAGAGCTACGGCCCGCGCGCGTGCATCCTGATGCGCGTCGTGGAGACTGTGAGCGGGCCAAGCGCCCCTCCAGCCGACCGGGAACACGCCCCTCCCCCTCCATCGGTGCGTATGATTTTTTTTCTAAATCTAATTAAAAATAATAATTTAGTAAATTGTAGTAGTAAGTATTTTTTTTGTTGTTATCTTTGAATCAGATCTTTCTTTCGAATGAAAGTATACATTCAATTTAATGTGTGCTCTGTCATATTTTTCACATTTATAGTAATTATAATGGATACGTTTATAATGCATTTATGCATCAGCAACTGTGACTAATAATAATTGGAAATGTTGTAAATATAATTCGAGTCGAAAATTTTACTCCGACTCCATTAAATTAAAAAATTGGTAACCTGCAAATCCATCATTGTTAAAAAGTTGTTTTATGTGGATTTAAATCTTATGAATATGTACCATACCATGAACCAAACTTGGATTATTAGGCACTGTTGTTGCAACTGAAAAAGCAACTGAAAAAGCTACAGTTTAGTCATAAACAATGTTATCGAACTATACATGTGAATTAGAAAAATAAAACAATCGTATGGAAGAATTCTATTATTACATTTACCACGTCAAAGCAATACCAGCTTATAAATAGGCTACACTGACCAGGGAAGTACCATGAGGTCAGGATAATAGAATAATAAGCTTATATGTTGTCAACATATAAGCTAATCTCAGACTCCTTTTTGTGGTTGGCAATATGTCTGCAGCATCCGGTGTTGACTGTTCATAGCTGCAATGACTTTACGGTAGATGACATGCCGTCGTTAAAAGCACGCATGAGCACATGCGCGGCCTTACCCACAGCGGAGGGCCCAAACCCGTGGGTTCTGGCTAGCCCACCGGTTCTGCGTCAGATGAAGCTTTAACAGTCTCGGGACTGAAAGCAAAAACATCAGTTAATATAAATATGACTTTACGGTCAAAAACTTGAGTTACCATTCATTGGTAACTTAAGAACGTATTAATTTCTATGTAAAATTTAGACGTTTCATAAGAACGCGCAAGCGTCTATTTGAATAAAAATATTTAGCATTTAGAATTTTTAAACAATAATAAACATTTTTTGGTGCTAGAATCTGCATTTAAGAATAATAAAACAATGTAGATAAACGTCGAGAATTTTCCGCTGGTATCGACCGCTTAGCTTGGTGGTTAGAGCGTCTGCTCACGTTACGCGAAAGGCTCTACCACCGGTTCGTAAGGTAAGCCACTGACCTGAGAAGAACCGGCGTAAGAAACTCAGCGGGACATTATTTTTTTTTTACTTGCCAAAAAAAATTACAAATATGTGTACAATTATTAAACTCCTATTAAACTCCACTTGAAAGCGCCTGGAGCGATCAATTCATTTCCAGAGTGTGTTATCATTCATATAATCACTAATACTATAATAGCCATTAACACACAAACGTTCCTTACAAGTTTTTTGAATTTAGCAACGGATTCATTTTGAACGTTTTCTGGGATTTTGTTGTAAAAGCGTATACATTGTCCCATAAAAGATTTACTTATTCTACGCAATCTAGTTGAGGGTAGAAACTAATTTATGCTTGTTCCTAGTATTTACATCATGCACATTACTAAATTTTGAAAAGTCATTCTTGTTTTTGTGGACATACATAACATTAGCAAGTATGTACTGAGAAGCTACAGTCAATATTTTTATTTCTTTAAACAGGTTTCTTAGTGAGTCTTTGGGGCCCAGGTTATAAACCGCTCGAATAGCTCTCTTTTGCAGGATGAAAATAGTATTTATGTCGGCTGAATTTCCCCAAAGTAGAATGCCATAAGACATGTGCCAATCGTGTTAATAACAGAGCCAGCCAGTGAAGACGGTACCCGAACCGCCGGCCCCGATCCCGGTACAGCCCACCCCGCAGATCGCGCAACCCTCCACTCCAGTATCATCCATACAGCAATCGCATATGCAGCAAAGGACTGTTCAGGTATGTACACACATGTACAAGGCGGGTGTGAAATACTAGGAAGAAACGCAATAGCGTCTGTAGTACGAATGGGCAGGTTCGTTCGGGCAAGTACCACAGCATCAGAGAAAACCGACGTGAGTTGGAAGTACCGGAATTCTTCCATTCGCCCGGTGAGTGAAATAACTCATCTGCAATCGATGTGGCAGATGTATCATGGGTGATATTATCACTTAAGATCAAGTAAAGTGATTTAGGGCCACGGAAGAGTCTTCGCTGTTGCACGAATGGCAGGTCCGTCTGGTGAAGTACCACAGTCTTACAGAAGAGCGGCGTGCAGAGAGAGGTGAGGTAACCGTGACCCAGTTTATCAAAAGGTGGCAACGCATCTGCAGCCGTAATGCAAACATATATGGTCGGCGGTTATCAGGTGGATCGCCTTCTCACATTAAAAAAAGTTTATAAAAGAGGTTTTTTTTGTGTGTGCTTATGTTCTAATCCGAGCTGGTTTCTTCCAGGAGAACGAGCATTTCGCTCAAGCCTGGCTCCGCTCCAGCTACGAGCCGCTGCCGTCGAGCGACAACAGCGCTTGCGACGCGGCCGAAGTCTACCGCCAGTACTTGGCCTGCTGCACCAAACTGGGCAGGAAGGGCGTGATAGCGCCCGCACATTTCCCCCGCCTTGTGAGGTATAGCTACCCCATCTTTGCGTGTACATTCCATACATGCAAAAAGCTTTGCATACCTTGCAGTTCTATACAAACAAGGCCAAATACTGAATAAGTTATAAGTGCAGCTATATTTTTTTTTGAATCAAAGAAAACAAACTTAACATCTCACAGCCTTTACAAAGGCCGCTTGGAATTTTGGATATCATTTAAGTGACCGGTTATGCTATCATCAATGACTTAGAAAAGAAATGTTATTGTTTTTTACTGCATACCCTATCTGAAATGTCTGTGCGCGGCACTGAATCGACCAGATCTAAAGTAACTGTAATTTATTTAACCGACAGCTTATTTATATAATTCGTGTTTTGCATCGCTGGTTAGGACAAGGTTGAGATTTGTAAAGATTCGGTATTAAATGTCCCACTTTCTCCATCATAGTGCTGAGCGTGAACTTAAAACTATGAATGTATTGAAACGCGCTCGCCTTCTAACAGAAAAGAAAGCGCCTTTTAGAATTACATGTTAGGATGGAAGTAAGTTTCCTAACCCATATTGACATCTTACTTATTTTACGCTGAAACTGAATCTTTCTAGTACAACATTTGAAAAAAAAAATGTTTACCATAAATTGTTTTATCAGAAAATTTTATCGTATGCTTTATTTACTAAGTACCGTATCCTTTTCAGAACTGTGTTCGGTGGCACGGTCGGACCGAACACCGTGACAATGGCGACGGGAGAAACTCAACAGGTGTACATAGGAATACGCTCCCGAAGTATACAGAACAGGACCAATCCACCCGTCGGTTAGTACTCTAATGCCGTTTCATAATTTACACGACTCAGTTTAGAACCTTTACCTTATCTTTATACTTAAGAGTCATCTTACCGTCACTGTGGCGCCGCTGCCACGGTTTTGGCCTCGACGAAGGGGTTCGTGGGTTCGATTCCCACATGGGATAACTAATTGTGTGACCCACAGATAATTCTTTCGGAACCGTCATTACAAACAGGATATTGTTATCCTACAGTAAGGGGAAACGTTTTCGAAGAAAGACTACGATAGATTTTCTGGGTCTCGGTCGTCATTGGGTCTTACGAACCAACCCCTTCCACAAAAGATACAAAACTACCTTAAACCGACACAGACAGAATTCTTTGTCTTTTTAAATCCAGTACTATCTAATATCATTTAATATCCAATGTATTAGGTCCATAACTATATGTAGCTCGAATTTGTTTCGTGAAATCAATTGATGTTTCGAGTCTATAGTTGATGTTACTCTGTTGCTTGTAATTATAAACAAATTAAGACTTTACTTCAAACGAGCAAGGTTTTATTAGGTAAACGTTTATTAGGTAAAGGTAACATTAGGTCATTTGGCAATGCAATTGTTACCTCACAGATTTAGTTGATGTTCACTAATCACTTAACATCTGGTAAACTATCTGTATGTTTTTGCTGATCTTTGCATAAAAATTTTATCAAATATCTCTTGCAGGGCCATCGTCCCCGATTCTGAAGGCGCAATTGACCAACAAGCCTGGAGCCGTAGAAGTGAAACCAGTAGTTGTTCAACCTCAGGTGCGTAATATACGTAATAGTTTAAATATTTAAATAGTACATAATAGTTTTTTTTTTTTTTTTTATATTCGGACCGGATAACATTGCCCGAAAATATACGCTGAAATATTTGTTTCTTCTTTACCATTGGCGGCGCAGTTGCAAAGCCGTTGGTTTCGGCGCCGCTGGTCGTGGATTCGATTCTGACACGGGACAAGTGTTTGTGGGACCCACATGTAATTGTTCCGGATCTGAGGGGTTTGTCATTGAGGGGGCTGACGTCAGGCATCCGGTTGGGAGAAACTTAGCCCAAACCATTAACAGAATGATTATTGTGACATCACAACCCACATAACGCAGGAGAAAGAATATTCACCATTGGCTGTGATTTAAACTTTCCTTGGTCTTGATTTGCGTGAAATGTAAGTCTCTTCTTCCTTGTTCCCTCAATGCTGAGGATCGTGACCACGAACAATATATCACCAACCAGTGCGATCTTGCGACTCGTGGACAGCCCGATACATGCTACCGCCCACTGCCCTCTTCACAGCATCAGACCATCTTGCAGGCGCCCTGCCCCGAGCACGTTTGTCATCTATTTAGCCCAAGATAATGAGCCTCTCCAGATCATGTCGCGAAGAACGCATAATCTGACCGAAGAAGCTGAGGGCACGTTCTTGGCATGTGCGCGAGAGTCGTTTATTGATTTTGAGTACTTAAAGGATGAAATTGTTTGTTCCCATGGCAGTCCATGGTATCCGTAGCATTCTCCGAAGTGGAGATAGGTACATGTTAAAATTTGGCGTTTCGCCTCGTGAGCGAGTTGACTGGGGTCCACCTAATCCAAGGGTTCATCAACTCATCCGCAAGCCGTCGGGTCGTGTGAGATGCTCATGGGCGTGTTCACCTAACGTCAGGTGAACCTTTACATAAAAATAAATATTTGACAGCAGCAGAGCTCGTCCGCGGCGGCGCCCTCCCCCTCCCCGCACGCGCCCCCTCCGCCCCCCGAAGCGGCGCCCTCCAACACCACCCTCATCAAGCACTTGCTCGCGCACAAAGTAAGCCCCGCCCCACAGCAGCCGCAAGTAAGTGCCCACTAACACCACTAACGGTACACTTTGGTTAGTCGTTTTTAACCGACTTCAAAAAGGGAGGCTCGCGCGATTCGATTGCGATTCGAAGTTATACTTCTTTAGGCGCGTTTGGGAGAAATGATGAGAGTTAATCGTTATTTCACTTCGAAAACGTAGCAGGTTCTCAATCTCAATTCGACTGTATTTTTTTGTTATTTTTTCAATCGACTCCAATATGAGTAGGCTCTCCATCCGACTGTACTTTTTTGTGTTTGTTACCTAAGAACTTTTGCCTCCCATGTGGGTCCCATATTCATTTCATTGGTATTGGATCTTGGCCTCCGAAGATACTTAAGGAGCTCCTGAAAATCTACTTTAAAATTAATACAGAGAGAGATATTTGAAGTCGGTTTTGTTTTTCGTTAATAAAAAAAACTGTCTTGTTTACGCTAAAGATGTATAACTTCTCACGTGCGTGCATAAAAATAAAATTAATAAAAGAACTATAAACATAAACATACGTTTTTTTTGTTCGTTAACGTAGTTTATGAAGCAAGCAAACTCATCATTTTGTATTTATTGGACCTTGACACGAAATGTATAGTGAGGGAAATATTTGAAGTCGGTTTTGATTTTTTGTTAATGAAAATGTTATTTATTGCTATTGCCTACATGCTAGTACAGTACTATTTTGTTAGAGTTATTTGTGACGAAAAGTTTCGGAGTGGTGTATAAACACTCGATTTGCGAAGATTTTTTTTTCAGATCTTTCGCTTTAGTGCCAATTATATACATAGTTATATAGTTCAGTTCATTATATATCTATGTAGTTTATTAGACATCTTGTGACATTTGTTTTTTTTGTCACTTTTTAATTCTATACTAGAGCTTAAAGAGTACTTACTCTATTGTTTTTGTAAAATGCTATTTTGTTTTTTAATTTTCTGTTTTTATTGAAACTGCTCAAGTTTTAGTATCGGTTACCGCGAAGGAATCCGGAAGTATGTGGTAAAATATTTGTTTTTTTCCGTATGTTCATAATATGCATGCGTTGTTGAGAACTGAAGACAAACGGACATTTTATATGTCCTTTTGTGTAGTTGGCACACGAACGTAGTTGGCATGAAAAAATTAGTCAGCTAACAAAATAAAATAACACGTCATCGAAATGACGAAGCATGCGTTGATAAAGCTTGTTTGTGAGCATGATGTTGTTTTTTTTTATTTTTCATTAAAAACTTTTACGAGTCTCAACACTTTTGCACATTAGTCAATAACTTAATTGAATAGCGTATAAAACTATATTCAAAATATTCTCCATCGATTCAATAATATAATAATAGTTCGATACAAGTCACGTTAAATCTGATTTGTTAACTGAATTCCCAGTATTCAGTATTATTATTCCTGATTGAATAATAGCAGTTATAATTATAAATATATGCTTATGTTCCGTCTTTGGAGATGTTTCCGGTAGCGAATCAGTAAAATTTCTCGTTTTACGTGAATATAAAATTGGGTTGATATGAATTTTTCTTTATTTAGTAAAATAAATGTATCGAGGCCACAATAAAATAATTGAGGCCACATATAATTATTTTATATATTCTACGTCATAAATTGTCACATTAACGTGCTCAATTTGAGTATCTTCTCTTAAGATACGTACGTCATTTGGTTTGTAGTTTTCCTTATTCCCTCATGCCTTATACAACCGATCAAAATTGAATTGATTTAATGGGAACCCCCTACAATGTAGGTGGCCCAGCGGCAGCAAAGCCAACAGAGGGTAGTGGGACCGTCCACTTCGACGGGTGTAGTTGTTCAGACCGGTGTAGCGGTAAGTGTTATTAATTTTATCAAGAACGCTCCTCTGATGGTAAGTGCCAATGAAGGCATCAATAAAAGCCTTGAAGACAGCCACATTATGTTAAAAAAGAATGAGAGCTGCCAGTTGGTTCCGGAAACAAACATGTAAAAGTACATTTTGGAGTGGCAATATTTTTGTGTTTTTAATAGTAATGAATGTGGCAACGGTGTGATTTTGAATTTTAGGGAATGGATGTTGATCCAGAAGCGTTGATAAAATGTACGACGATCACACCGGGCGGTGTTGCCAGTAATACGCCGACGTTGCAAGGAGATAAGGTAAAACTATTTTAGATGTTCATGATAATGGATGTAAAAAATAACTTTTTGACTACACTTCATAGGTATAAAATTCGAAAAGTCAATGTATAGCTGTCTGTACTAGAACGACCCGTGTCTGGTGTTTCCGAAATTGTTAAGAGGAAAATCCATTTTTCTTTTTTGGCCTTTTCTATATTATGTTCTAAGTAAGTTGACGTGTATGCGGCATAGTTTGCGGAAAGAGCATCCTAGTTATTTTATACATTTATATTCACTGAAATATTTATATAAAATTCGATTGGATTAAATTTTATGGACTCCACATAGCGATAAAAATGGTTAATTTATTGTTATCCCTCAGGTTATCATCAATACATCCGACGAAGTTTTAGGTAAGAAATTAATTTTGTTTGTATTGAATTGTTACATTGATAATATGAGTATAATCGAAATTATGCTTCTAATTTTTACTTTCAGCTCCGAAAGACGAATCGATGCAGATTCAAATAGACGAACAAACCCAATTGACTATAGTAAGTAATATTAAATGATTTTTACAACATACTTAACATATTAAAGGACTTAGATCTGCATCCAGAATTTGTTTATTTAAATTAGCTGCTGATAAATGTATCCAGCAAGAAAATAATGCTTTATATAATATTTGTAAAAGCTTTATATAATATAATGCACTTCAAACGTAATTTAATAGTATAAAAAATAGTTATGGTAGGTGCATACACGCATTATGAAGTAAACTAGAGTAAAAATTAACACATAAGCGATAGTTTATTCAAATAAAACATTTTTTCCAATCATTTCTATTTAACTGATATAATTTTTATTAAGTCATAGTTATCAAATTTGAAACTAATAACCGACAATCCACTTTCAATTACTAAGGACTAAATAAAAATAGTATCAATGCTATGCTCATTTTTAGGGAAGAAATGGTCATCGTTCTTTGTGACATTATTTTGCCAAATGTCATCGATCTAGTTCACTATCATATAATTTCCCTTGTAATAAATGTTATCGTAATTTGGATGGATATGTAACAAACAGCTAAGCTTATTTATCGTTTCAGAAGTCCGCGCAAAACAAAATGCTTGCCGATTTGCTCGAGAAGAAGTCGAATCCGCCGGTGCAGGTCGTGCAGATGAATCCCCAGATGGGCGCGCCCACCATCCAGATAACTGAGACCGGCCAGATAGTCCAGGTGAAACCGGACTCAGGTCCGCTAATGATCGGCCCAGATGCCGGAATGGTGTCCCAGGGTGTGCCCTACTTCCAGATCAAGAACGAACACGGCCAGCTTATACAGATAAAGAACGAGCAGGGTCAGCTAATACAGCTGAAGGGCGATCAGATGCCGGGCCAGATGGTCGCGTTCAAGAATGACCAGGGCCAATTCGTCACGGTGAAGAACGACCAGAGCCAGTTTATCACGGTGAAGAATGAGCAGGGCCAGTTTGTCACGATGAAGAGTGACCAGGGCCAGTTTGTCACGGTGAAGAATGACCAGGGGCAATTCGTCACGCTGAAGAATGACCAGGGCCAATTTGTCACGGTGAAGAATGACCAGGGACAATTCGTCACGGTAAAGAATGACCAGGGACAATTCGTCACGGTAAAGAATGACCAGGGTCAGTTCATCACGGTGAAGAATGACCAGGGTCAGTTTATCACGATGAAGAATGACCAGGGTCAGTTCATCACGGTGAAGAATGAACAAGGCCAGTTCGTTACGGTGAAGGCCGATGTCGCGCAGGGCTTAGTGCAGCCGGCAAAGAACGAGAAAGACCAGCTGGTCGAAACCGTGGTCACGGACCACTCGTATACCGAGCCGCCGATGAAGAAGACGAAGATGGAGGAGAAACGCGAGGTATGATTTCAAACGTGACTATCGCCATCGTTGCTTGCGACAGAACATGCCATTAAGCAGTTGTAATTATCATTTGGGCAGCCCGTGAGGTGGTTTAGCCATCACCGTAGTCGATATCGATAATTCATAAAATTTGATTATTCATCATTTATGCGCCAGTCATCTATTTTTTTTTTGTTCACATTTTAAATTTTGTTGTTTCATTTTTGTTTATAGCAACTGTAAGATTGATTTTAATTAGTTTTACATTTTAGACCATGTGTGTAGGTATTACGTGCTCACAATGTCATTATATCACCCCCGTTGCGCACGTACATTGTACGTGAGAGATCATCTAATAATTAATGAAATTACATGGATAAATACATTAATCGTTTACTCCTCACATCATATGCTATTTGGCGAATAAGTAATGTGTTATAAAATAATTTTATAAAAAACGAAAAAATTGACCTCAGGAAAGTGTTTCCAAGACAGCGGCTAACTTATACGCCGCACTGGCAGCGTCGGCTTTAGAAGATGAGGAGGATTTGGTTAGTAATAATATTGTAATTATTAATGTTAGAGAACTCCCACGTGATCGTACGTCAACTAGCGCCATCTGTGGTAACGGGTAGCCTCTTAGGAATAGCCTTGTAAGCCTTTTGATATAATTCTTTAATCGGTTGACAAGTAGCTCAATCTTTTTTAGGGTTAAAACTAGTGTTAGGTGGCCATTTGGACTAATTAATTCGCCACATCGCTTTCATTTACTGAGACTATTAGGTTAGCCTGTTAGGTAAAGCGTTACGAATTAAAACGAAGGATTTTAAATAGTCTGTAGGTCGGGTTTTATGAGTAATTTATTACTGATTATTTCGAATAATATTTTGAGCCAAGTAGTTCTGTCGATTTGTGTTTTATTTAACCCATATTCGTTATACCCGCATTGTAAGCAGGCATCGGATGGAAGAGAAGAGGTGCCTCTGTGTTCGGAACTACACTATGCATTGCTTGGTGCACTAAAACCGCTCGAACTCTGGAAAGCGAACTTATATTATTATCTTATTTTTCAATTCTTCCATGTCTGTCCATAATGTAGCGGCCCACCGGAGTCCTTCTTGCGGGAGCACTGCGTGCCAAGGTTGAATATAAACGTAGTGTAACAGTAGTTTGATTTAATGGGTAGACATATGATAGTCTAAGTATGCTTTATTATATGTGTACTGTAGTATTTGTGTACAGCTGAAACGTACACACCAATGTACACGATGTATCGTTCACTAAACTGTCAATATTAGTATTACCCATCGTGTTGTTTTATACTGTTTTCCCTGTAGCGATTTCCCACAATGTAGTGAGCAATATATTATTTGAACATTATTGTCTTAGATGCTTTCCACCTTTTAATTAATTATGCATATATTATGGAATAGCTTTTATAGGTAGATTTAACTATAAGTATCGCGTGACTGAGCGGTCAGAGTGCCAGTATAATCGCCAGTACTACGTTCAAACCGAAAGGCCAGAAAAGCGGCACTGTACGAACACTTATGCCATAGTTAAATTCAAACGACAAACTATCCGTTATCGCTAATGAAGTAGCGAGTTGTTCCCTTCTATGTTTTGATTTGGGACCTTAGAAATTTTTTCAAAAGACTTGACAACCTTGCAACGCGGACATCGATTCGACTCGAGACGATTGATGCGTGGAAATCGTCGAATGTAATTGTACAAACAGTGTACAAAGATTCACAAGATAAGCTCGGCTTAGCCGGCTTCCGACTAAAGAACACTTGTTGCCGATAGCTTCCGCCGAAACAGGAGTCAGTGGACGTGATACCGTCGTCGGTTTTAGTCGCGGGCGCCGCCGATGCAAGCTCTGTCATAATCCAAGAGCCGTTGCTGCAGGTCAGTAGTTGTGACGTCACGTCGGAGCCGTACACTTGTCCAATTAACCCTTAATTAAACAGACCCTGCTTTAATACTAACACTAACTATTTATGAAACCCAATAAGAAGGGATTGGTAGAATACGATATAATCATAGTTGATCCGCATTGCCGGGGTGTTTCGGATCTATTAAATAAGAAACGTAATGAGGAGTCTGTTTTTTAAATGTTTTGTTGTTTGTCTTTTTTAACATTAAAAATATAATGATGAACTTCATGAACAAAAAATTCTATTGCCAATTGATAAAGAAGATGTTAATTATTTTACCTTACCCTTGTAACGCTTCAGTACAAAATCCTAATTATCAATAGGGGTGTATGAATTAATGAATTGTTGTCTTTGTTTATAAATTTAACTCATTCATTCATCCACTGCCAAGGTCTTTAAATCCCGAAACTCAGTAGCCGGGCATTCTGACCACTCGATCGCGTCAGCACCGCATAACACCGCTGACACACCGCTCGGATTATATCGCCAGGTGCAACAGCCGACGCTGCAAGTTCAGCAGCCGACTCTGCAGGTCCAACAACCGACACTGCAGGTCCAACAGTCCGCTTTGCAGGTGCAGCAGTCCGCTTTGCAGGTCCAACAGTCCGCTTTACAGGTCCAGCAGTCCGCTTTGCAGATGCAAGGCTCCGCGATCCAGGTATGAGTAATAGTATGCATTGACTTGCAAAACAATAATATTTGCCGTTTACTTATGTTGCGAATAAAACAATGCCTTAAAATACAAACAATAGTTATAAAGATAAATATAAGGACCTAGTGAAAATTAATATTGATGATGAAAAGAAGCGTATTGTGTTTTATTATTTATTTTATTATTTTCCTGTGTCGAATTTGCCAGATCTGCAGCGATAAAAGTTACTAGTGTTATCAACCAAATGTCAGAAGCAATACATGATGGTACTTTGTAACTATTGAGTTTGAAATATTGAAGGAAAATATGTTATTAATTAAAATTTTTAAATTGTGTTTATTTACATTATTAAACAATTTCGCAAAAAAGCGCACAAACTTTCGCACTGGCCTGATATTTTGACACTGTTAAAATTATTTCCTAACAAATGCAATTTGTATGCCAACCATAATTACTTCGTAATTACTACTTCTTCAAGATAAGATTAGGAAAAACTTGATGTACGAAGTAATTGAGTAAAGTAAGATACTATACCAAAGGTAAAATTTGGTATCCATAATTTTTCCTTACCATCACAAGTTTGCCACCACTGTTGCGTTTATTACATGAGAAATTTAAGGTTGAAGAGGATTTTTTAATGTTCTGTTAACTTCTACAGCTGGATCCAGATTAATTAAAATGCCGTTTCAGATGCAGCAACCGACTTTGCAGGTGCAACAGCCGATGCTCCAAGTTCAACCCATGGACGTCCAGAATATAATAGCATCCCAGGCTGGCCAAATAATCCTCCAAGGTGATTTTTTTTACTATAATTTATGTAATGATTTCTTGAGTGTATCGGAATTTAACCCGTCCGAAAAAATCCGTTAACCCCATGTTTTACCTAGTTTTTAGTTAGACTTTTGTTTGTTGTTACTTTGATAGGACATATTTTGAATTTGGCAATGATTTTAATTTTGGATGTTTCGGACTATATTGAAACAAGGATCTTTTATGATATATTATTGTTGTGCAGACGAAAACGGGTGCTATTGTACTTTGTCGTAATAAGTCACACAAAATTATTTTAAGTATGTTCCTTTTCAGAGAAACCAATCTCGTCGCAGACAACGCAGTTTATGCAGCAACCGATGCAGATTATAGCAACGCCAAACACTTCTCAAGGTACGATAGTATTTATATCATATAGGATAACTTCTTTAGGAACTTGATTTGCTTTATCGTTTAACTTAAAAAACCGCAGTAGTGTTGAGAAAATTGGTATTTTTACGTTCCCACTATTACAATAGGCTTAAGAAGAACACGTGGGGAGCAAAATGTTTATTTAATGTGACGAAAAACTTCTGAACACGAAATTATTGTTGTGCTATCGTAATTCAGTGCCCGATTGCTCGCTCTTCTTTATTTCATAGTATAAAACAAAGTCGCTCCCGATGTTTGTACGCTTAGATCTTTTGAACTTATCAACGGATTTTACTGGAATTTTCAGCAATAAGTGATTCAAGCCGCAGGTTTATAAAGGAAGGTTTTCGTAGTATACATGCATATTATAGTAGAGAAAGCCCGAGAAATACCTTCATTGCACGCGGGTGAAGCTGGGGCAATCTGTTGATTTTTATCAAGCAATCCGACTTCACGATGGAATTAATGAATGATTTACTCTCGTTTTTGGATAAGGCTCCTAAAATCTACCTAAGAAATACGAGTAAACTAATAAAAATATATACATCATATTATCTTGCAGAATCGCGAAGGGATTTGCTTAACAGTGTAACGTATATCGATAGCATGTTAATTTACTTTCCATACGTAATGGAAACATGACAGGTTTTATTCATAAATTTTAATTTTTAAGGTTCCAACTCTCGATCTGTTTTACAGGCGGCCTGAGCTACATAGCCCAAAATATTCCGGGCAATATGATGCAGAAGACGATCATTATAGTCCAAGGTCCTGCCGGCGGTGGACCGCTCACTCTCACGGTATGAAACCCATTTAAGGTCTATTGGCTGCGTTTAATGTGTCTAGCGCACATTATCTGGCAACTCTATAAATAAATACTGTTAATTATGGTGCAATTGAAAACTACAATAACTAAATCAATAAACTATCCGAGAAACTGTTTTCATGGATTTATCGCGTTTATTTTTTTTTACCAGCTTTGGTCCCATTAACTACACTTGCCCCACTTCTCCACCTCCACCTTATTTTTTAAAACTTCAATAAATGTACAATAAATAAAGATATGGGCTAAGTGTCTAAAACTTAGAAGTGTTAATTGAAATATATCTAGTAGATTTCTGTGTTTTCTGTTGTTTTTTGCGTGATGCACGCAAAACAACAGACCTCTATCATTTTATTTTTACAAAAGTCAATTCCTAACTTTTCAAATGCTTTGCGGCATTCATGGTCACGGGAAAAGTTAAAAATAAACGCGATAAATCCGTAAAACTATTCCATTTTATATTTCAGTATAATTTACCAATGTGTAGTATTCGTGTAAATATATGAAATTATAAAAAAAAAAAACAAAACTATAATGTCAAAGTTAAATATATCAAGGAGTTTACAATGTTAAAACGTTACAGGTGTACACTGTAGATGAAATTGTACTTTTATGGATGATTTCGACAAGACAATTAAAAGACATTTTAAAAATTAAATAATAAAATTGCGTTTGCTATATGATTTTGAAAAACACGGTTCGTTTGTGCCAAACGTGTGTATTGTACGCAAAAAGCGTCGAATATGAACATTCAGACTTTCCGCGGGCGCCATTGCAAACAGCGAATGCATTTATCGCGAATTGCAAACAGCGCCACTCAAAGTTTCCACTAAACGAGAAATTTCACGCAAAAGGTTAACAACCCAGCGGGCCTGGACGAAGCGACGCTAAACAGTCTTATTGCCCAGGCAACAGAGGCGATAACGCAACAGCAAATAATACAGGTTAAACATCTCGTAGAAATACGCGCTTTACATGTAACTAATAATTTCCGGCTTCATTTCCATTTAACATGCCTTGTGGGTCATCAGTGTTCTCTTTTGGCACCTTTTGCGTCTGTTCTCGCTAACAAATATCAGCTTTTTTTAAAAACTATAACATCGTTTGAAACGTTCTTACGATTTGCTTCACACTGTCATGCGTACATATGGCTAGATCAAATTTCATAAAGGATAAGTTCTCACCACATACAAGACCTAGAAGTTATTTGAAATGCGACGGGTTTTTTAATAGTTTTCAAAATTGTATTCTCATTGTATCAATAGCGTTGTTATTTACTTGGCATTAGCGTTATTTCATGCAACATTTGTTAAAATCATTGAAAGGACAACACCAAGCTTTTAGGAACCATTGAAAAAATAATAATATGAAACAGCAATTTTTTTATCACAATGCTGACATTTCAAATGTGCTGAAGTTTATCACATAAGTGATAGCTAGTCGCTAGCTTTTAATATATAACTATACACTTTAGTAAATCCTTAAACAGTTCGTTATCTCCATTGAAGACTTGACGGATGCAACGTTATTTAATTTTTTTCTATTCCGTGACTAACAACGTTGCTTACCGCGTTATAACGTTACTAACCCGTTACTTGTGCGTTACCTGCGACGCTATTCACAATTATAACTAACGCAACGTTGGACGCGAGTGATCCGCGAACGTTGACGACGCATGTGTGTTCCGTGCGCAGAACACCGGCGTGATACAGTCGGCACAGAGGGTCATCGTGAGCCAGCCAGCTCTTGTGAGCACGTCACAGCCGATCACGATGGTGAAAACGGCCATCGCGCAGGTTACCACCGCCATTTGAATGCACCACCATCATCCGAATGTACCCGCCTCCATCCGAAACTGCCCACCACCATTCAAACGTATGCATCACCATCCGAACGTACTCAAAACCATCCGAACGTACTCATAACCATCCGTATGTATCCACCACCATCCGAATGTACCCACCATCATTCAAACATACCCACCACTGTCAAAACGTACCTACCACTATCCGAACGTACCCACCACTATCCAAACGTACCCACCAACATCCGAACGTACCCACCAACATCCGAACGTGTACACCTATATCCCGAACAGCTTTGGCACGTTTGTTCCCAAGCTAAGTAGCAAACCCGTCTGAGATTCCACGTTTGATTGTTTTTTTAGTTTACTTTTAGTTATTTTTTTCTCATTTGTTTATTTCATTCGCTCCATTGATATTGTTCGTTACGGTTTCGTGTAGAGTTGATTTAGTGCAGATATTGGCTTGGTTGACAATCAGTGCGGGGCAGTAATTGTGGAGGCAATAGTATAATTTGTCAAAACTTAGTACGTAGTAGCGTTCATTTTGTTTATGATTGATACTTATTTTTAGAATTTTTGTTATGTTACTTTATTGTGGTGGAAGCGTTTTATAAATGGTCTATTTAATGGTGTTTTATTAACGGGCTTTTGTGTCATGCATGCTATCATAATTATATGTAAAATGTAATGTTCACAATGGTTTTTTTTTGCTTTCATACCGACACATACGTATATTATATCTACGTTATAATTATTTTAAATGTGGTGTAAGTTATTATTTTTTTGTTTCTATAAGAGCATACGTTCTTAAAGATTTCATATAAAATAAATTATTTAGTTCTTGACATGTAAGAATACAATAAAACAAAACGAATTTTTTCCTGAAATGCTATGCAGTAAATATTTCCAACTATGATAGTTTTAGCGTTTACTTACGTCTTCATGTTAATTTTTTTTAACCATCCTCTATGGCCTAAACTTACCAGACTTAAATCGTATATGATATCTTCGCTGGCGGAGGAATGTTACTGTACGGAGAGTAATGTATCGATGTATAACACCCCCTCCCCCTATCAGAGTGCGCCGCAGATAACGCCGAGCCAGCAGCCGATCATAACGAGCCAGCCGCAGCCGCACAAGGCTCAGATCGTGAACGCCCCGCAGCAACAGATCCTCGTCTCGCAGAAACAGCCCCCCGCCCTCGTCAGCACCTCCACCGGCAACCAGCAGATCATACAAGGCGGCCATACAAACCAGCAGATCATACAAGGCGGCCATACAAGCCAGCAGATCATACAAGGCAACCAACAGCTGCTGCAGGGCAACCAGCAAATAATCGCGGTGTCGAACAACCAGCAGATCATAATAAACGCCCCGATGAAGCCGGCCGTGCACAGAGTAGTGCAGCCGCAGAGGAGCCAGGTCGCGAGCGTCTCCGCCCAGAGCTCGGTCGCGCAGAGCGAGAGCAAGCCCACCGTTATACAGAGCAGTCCGGTGAGTGGTCTCTGTTGCGACATTTGTCTGCGATCGAATTGTAAGTGGCCGGCGAAACGCGTTCCTGAACGTTGCGTCACCGATCACAATGTCGTAAACAATATATGATGAATAGAAAGCAATATATAAGACTGTCAATCAGGTGTTACATGCGGCTTTGCATGCCGCATTATAAAACTTCTCAATTTTTCCTATTCAAATGTTCACATTACTAACTGTACACAACAAAGGCTTTCATGCAAAGTTACACCTCCCATTTTCCTGGTTAAAGTTGAAATTTTCAAAAATCCTCACTTGTGAACTAAACATTTTACTTAGTCGGTTTCAGCTTTCTAAAACTATTAGTCTCATCGAATTTAGCTATGGTGCTAATCAGCGAAGTCGTAGCGTGAGGGTGTTATAATCACTTTGTTCACCCCAGAAGCCCCAGCAGCCGGTGATGCGTCAAGTGATCAGTCGGCAACCGGTGATGGTTGGCAACACTAAAATCGGCGACAAGGAGATGGTGGTCACTCAGCCGGTTGCGGAGGTGAATGTTCCATCTCACTTTTTCTCTATGCGAAAAGTTGCCAAACGAGCAGACGGTTAACCCGATGTTAAGTGATTACCGCCATCTGTGGACGTCAACAACACTTGAGTGTTTTTACGTTGCCAACTTTTAAAACAACGGACCCCGGCTAACTCAGTCTGCAGTTATAGACGTTAATTACAAGCGCCTTACTAGTTTTGAGATTCTGCGTGATTTGCAATTTTGTTTATGTCAAGACTGTACTTCACTTCGTGTCTGAGTGCGGTCGATAGTTCATTTGCTACATTTGCAAGGTTTTGCGTAGTTGTGGTCTAAGTTTTAACAGTATTATTGTATATTATTGAAGAATGCCAGTTATGGTGTTAAATTGGGCTAATTATAGATATCTCGATGAGTAAGAACATGTTAACGTAATCTGCTCTAAAAGGTTTATATCAGAAGTCACAGATGTGACTTGTCACAGAATGGGATCAGCAAATATGATTGTATAGCGGACTTTTAACTTATCTGTTAGGCTTTTGCCCACCTAAAAGATGTTATGTTCTTGTATAACTTATGTGCTGATCTGAGGTGGTTTTACATTTTAAATAAACTGAAAAGCAAGACGTAAGTAATTTCAATAAGGTGTTGTTAATGCCTGTCTGACGTCAACTCTCTTTGGAAACTAACACCGGAAACAATATCTGTGGGTCACTAGACACTTTTCCCGCGTCAGAATCAAACCTTTGACAGCTGACGCCGTAGCCAAAGGATTTGCAGCTACGTCGACGAGTCATCTGAATTGATTCTGTGACATCATGTTAATTGGAGTGCATTTACAGAAGCCTTCTACCCCGAAACCGACTTCAACGCCCCCACCGGCGACGAACCCCGTAGCAGAGGACACCCCATGGATATGCCACTGGCGTGGCTGTGGAAAGTATGATCGTGAACAGTTTTAATTATTTTACTTCATTAGTTATTTAGGGCACAGTAAAGTAAAGTAAAGTAACAGCCTAAACATGTCTCACTGCTGGGCAAAGGCCTCCTCTATACAGAGGGTATGAGGCCATAGTCCACCACGCGGCCCCACTGCGAATTGGCGGACTTCACATATCTTCGAAATTTTTTTTTGTTATTATTTCGAAAATATGCAGGTTTCCTCACGATGTTTTCTTTCACCGCGGAGCACGTGATAAGTCAGCACTTAAAGTTAAAAACTTCATTGGAGGGCACATTATACATGGTTAAATGAAATAATTTTACGTATAGCCTGAAATAGTTTGCATAAAGAACCCGCATAAGATATGTAGGTACACAAGATATCGTTATGTTTAAAACGATAAAGCTATTTACAACATTTGCTTTTCAATAGTCACGTTTTTTTTATTATATACTCATTAAATTCAAATTCAATTTTCAATTCATAAAAGATTTTTTAAAATATCTTTATGGGGTTAGTTGGTTTCGGTTTAGCTCCTACGTGTAACATGCTGCGTTTACGTTAGTAAAGGAAGTCTTGCAAAATGTGAATCAAAAAAATTATACAACAGTACTATTTCTTGATATGTCTAAAGCATTCGATCGTGTCTCACATGATCAGTTACTTCCCAAATTAGAGGCTAATGGAATAAGGGGTCCTGCTTACAGCTGGCTAGAAAGTTATTTAAAAAATAGGTGTGTTGAAATAACACAATTAGATCGAAATAACATAGCTCAGGTATATAGATCGGAATTAAAAAAAAAAACAAACACTTTTGGCGTTCCCCAAGGTAGTATACTTGGACCATTGCTATTTATATTATATATAAATGATTTACCCGATGTCTCAAACTACAAAATCACTTTATTCGCCGATGACATCTCAGTGACGATTACGACAAGTAAGAAAAAATCACTAGAGCAACATAAAACAGACATAATTAAAACAGTGAATTTAATAGATAAATGGTTAAATAAAAATAATCTACACATTAATTTAAGTAAGACACATATTATTAATTTTAATAACTTTAATTTTGACATAAAAATTAAATATAATGGACAATTACTGCGGAATGCTAATAATACAACATTTCTAGGTTTAGTTATAATAAACTCTAATCTAAATTGGAAGGAACATATACATAAAGTGTGTATCAAAATTAACAGATTTGTATACGCGTTACATAAATTAGCAAAAATATCAAACATAAATACGGCGATCACAGCGTATTTTGTATATATAGAATCTATTATCAGATACGGACTTATAATTTGGGGTAATGGCACAGAATGTCAAAAAGTATTTCTAGCTCAAAAGCGCTGTATTAGAGCTCTTAGTAACATTTCATCATATATATCATGCAAGACTTATTTTAAGACCTTAAATATACTTCCTTTTCCTTGTCTCTATATATTTGAGGTTTGCAAATTTGTAAAACAAAACCAGAATATGTTTTTACAAGCTAAAGATGTGACAAAAATAAACTTACGGAACCAAGATAAATTAGTACTAGATACAATTCCTAAAAGTAAGCGCTTTCAAAAAAATAGCTATGCAATGTGCAATACTATTTATAACAAGATACCCTCACATATAAAACAATTACCATATAATATGTTTAAAATTTCGTTACGACGATGGCTACTAGAGAAACTATTTTACACGATAAATGAGTTTTTAAATTGTAATACCTAATTAATGTTGTTACTATTATTTCATATATTATTTTTTTTTTAAATCGATCCATTAATTAATTAATATATCTATTAAAATTGTAGGACGATTTCAGTTACATGGAAAAAAAAAATATTAGACAACTGTATTATATAAAATATATCTTCTGGACATTTGCGTGCTTTTTAAAACAGCTAAATAGGTTAGGTTTACATTTGTGACAACAACAAGATAACAAGACCAAAATTTTTTCTGTACTACCTATTTATCAGCAAATAAAGAAACTTAACTTAACCATGGGAATATTAATTTCATTGGTATTGCACCTTGGACTCGTGGTTTTGTTTTTTGTGTAAGAAGGTGTTGAGCGAACTTGCGGTCCATCATGTGCAAAGTAACCGCCGCCGATGCAACACCCGTAGGGTTGCAGACGCGTTGCCACCTTTTACTATATGGGACACGTCTATATCGCGGAGCAGGCGAAACGAAATTTAACTCTTCCATTTCACGTTGGACGTATCCGAGGTCGTAGCACTTCCCCGGACGGACCTGCCTATTCGTGCTACATAGCGTGAACCGTTGCGTTTTTCATTTAACATCGCCGTGGTGTGTTTAAAAAAGAATGTTCATTCATTCATTCATTCACCCATTCATTCATTCATTCATTCACCCATTCATTCATTCGCGCGCAGGACGTTCGGCGGCGCGTCGGAGGTGTTCGCGCACGCGGCTCGCTCCCACTGCCCGACGGGCGCGGGCGGCGAGGCGCCCTGCCTCTGGCTCGACTGCGATCGCGTGCCGCGCAAGACCTTCGCGCTGCTCAACCACCTCACGGACAAGCATTGCACGCCGGCGGTGAGCTCTAGAACGTTCCAGCGCCATTCTAGAACGTTCTCTACGTCCGCTTTTCGTTCGACGTACGAGCGGCCCGGATTCGAATCCTCTGGAAGGGCTCTTTTTAAGTGACAAGTTACCAAACGAGCAGATGGTTCACCTGATGTTAAATGAATACCGCCGCCCATGGACATCTGCTACACCCGGGGGCTTGCAGATGCGTTGACAACCTTTTTGAAACGCGAAAGTATTATACTTCCACTTTACGCCGGTCTTCTGTGAGGTCGTGGTACTTACCCGGACGAGCCTGACCATTAGTGAAAATTGTGAATTGTGGTTGTAAGTAACAGTGACCACTGCGATCTAGAAAGATTTATAATAGCTTATCTTCGGAAACATTGCCCCCTTACTGTAGGATAACATTATTCCCTACGTCCGCTTTTCGTTCCACGTAGGAACGGCGCGGCACCCGAATTGTTCGTATTTTATGCGGAACGGGTTCGGTAGTAAGTCACGACCACTTCGATCTAGAAACGTCTATTGTTCCTCCTTCCCTTCGGAAACATAACTTATTGTGAGATTCTTGTGCTGCAGCGACCTCTTAGACGTGCAACAACTGCGTTTTATTACGCATCCATAGGATCGGGCGGAGTCACCTCTTAGACTCAACCTGCAACACTACTACGATGAAAATTCGTCTAGTAGTTTCGATTAGTTGTTGCATTGGGAACGTTGGCAGGCGCTGAAGGCGATCTTCAACTCGCGGCGGCACGTGGCCGTTGAGGGGGAGGCGGGAAAACCGGTGTCGCTCGGCTACCCGCCCAACGCTGCATTAGCGGCCCTCAACAAGCACGCCGCCGACATGTTCAACCCGCGCGAGCTCATGGTGAGTTTTTTTTTCTTTATCCCAGCCCGAGGCAAAGAAACTCGCGCATTCCACCCGAACACACGGTAGCGCAAGTTTCAACACCGAGTTATACTAGATCCAATCGCGCAAGGATCGTGAGTTGCGCCTGATTTCTTATAACAGACCGAGGCAACGACGCTCGTGATGTTCAGTTAAATTCATGTCGAAGATCGAAGCGATCGATCAGAGGTTGTCGCGTGAATTTTAACATCGTGTTGCATTTGACACAAGACCACGGAGGCGGTGGCATGGTAACCATTCAGCCTCAACCATATAAGGTGGCGCAGAAATTAACATGTTCACGACGCTTGTTCAAGCTCTAATCTTTAGCGCGCACAACACAAACTTTAGTAAGAAAAATATGCACCGCTACTTTGTTGTCAGATTTGTCTATGGTATGAAATAAAGAATATTTCGAAATTAACATGTTCCTTGCGTAATCAGTAAATCGACGATGACGTTAGTACGCGAAAAGATTTTAACTTTTTTATTGTAAGTTCTGCTTTTAACTTGAATGTCTACGAATTGAATAACTCTATAATTGTGTAATAACAAAACAGACCTTTCAATAAATCTTCTAATATGATAACTCGGTTTATTCCCTATAAAGCCGCGAGATATTCATATTGAGATATATATTTCTGTTCTCTAATTATCATAATTTATTAGGCACCATATAAGAAGACTCACATAACCTGAAATTGCGACCTACGTGAATCTTTTCACATTGTTAATTATCAAACGATAATTTTTCGTTTTTTTTCTTTCTTTTCAATATGCCTCTTTGTTTGCTTAATTGATTTACCATTGTATATAAATTACGATGCAACAATTAGTACGTCGCGAATTCAAAACATGGAATTTGTATCAATTGACATAACAGAAACTTCATGGGGTTGCCTATCACGACAAATAAAATTGAAATGTAAACAATATGGGACAATGTTGCACTATTCTATCTTGTAATCAATCGTAATATTACTAAATAATAGTTATACGAATTGTTTATAGACTAAAATCATTTTGCAATTTGTCAGTGCAGGCTAACTATGTTTACATTTTGATTTTAGTTGTATGGTACAGATCGTATAGTTGAGATACCCACTAACTGTAGCACATGTGTGTGCGTTCACTAACGTGTCCGTTTGTGTGCGTGCAGCACAGGGCCGAACTCAGTCGCACGCCGGAGCAGTTGGTGAGATACACAATTTAAATCTGTGCGCGCTCAGCGAGTTATCCGGCCCTGTTAATTTTGTTTTCTGTCCCGCGTTGCCAAAAATATGAGAAGAAAATATGGGCACAAATGTGATTATTTTAAAGAACTAAATAAAGTAACAATTGTATGGCGTGAAAAAGAAAAAAACATGCTTTATGTAAGGCTAAAAAGTTTTTTAAATAAATTAACAATTGTATGGCTTATAAAAGAAGAAAATATGTCATACGATAGACTTAAAAGTTCTTTAATTATAACTTTTACTTTATGAATACAAGAACATAGTCCCCTGTTTGGGCACCTTTGTTTACAAATAAGCCCACAAATATTTTAGCATTTTCTTTAAAATTACTGTTACAAAAGGAATGTTTCATGAAAAATATCAAACAATTTTCGTAAAACAAATAACTATTATACCGTAATAAATATAACCTCATTTATTTTTTAGCAAACTGAAAGGAATTAAAGAGTCATCGTGAAAAAAAAGATGGCCGAATTCGCTGAGCGCGCAAAGAACAACGATATTTTGTGCTTTTGTGTTCGTCTTATTGGCCTTTTACGTTCCTTTGCTGGATTTTTCTTTCGTGCCATTTGAAACGCTCACGTTTGCTGTTTTTAGAAGTTTGTTTGACCTTCACCGTGTTTTGTTTTAAGATTAAGATTGGTGTGAAATAAAATGTTCTAAAACTTTTAACGTGTTCAGTTATCATTGTCATTGTGACACGATTGTATTGATGTCTACCCCAATTAATAACTTTAGAAATGTTGAATAAGGTTGGCTAACGACGCCACAGTATATTAAAAATTTACAACATTGCAGCCGACACATGACGCGTACAAATTAGCTAGAAATTCTTAGCCTTGTATACATGGTTATACTGTCTGTTCTTATCTTTTCTAGAATTCCGTACAACAAATGCGTAATAGTCGTAAATATATCACGACAGATTATTTTGACAACTTTTACACGAATTTATAGCACGATTTTTATCATTGTATGCATTATTTCCACATCAAAAGTTTAAACTTTAGATATTTCCCATTTACGGTTACCTTTATAGGCATTTTAGTGTTATTATCATAGAAGTTGTAGTTGATTTAGAAAGTATGAACGCTTATCACGTCGCATTTCTTCCTTTTCACTATGTTTTCCGAGTGTTTTGCATGCCATTACACGTTTTGAAAGATCCAAATTACTCAACAAGGGTGCGAGTATTGAGTTTTGAGTTTGATTTCGAACGACAGGACGAAAATGAAGGTCCCGTCACGAAGAGCATTCGGCTTACCGCCGCCTTGATACTGAGGAACATCGTGATTTATTCAAACACTGGGCGCCGGTGAGTGTCTTTCGTTGTGTTTCCATTCATTGTGTCTGTATGTGAATCGTGTATATATAACTCCACGCTAAATTTATCTATTGTTTTTTTATGTGAAAAGTTGCCAAACGAGCAGACGGTTCATCTGATATTAAGTGAATACCGCCGCCCATGGACATCTGCTACACCCGAGGGTATGCAGATGCGTTGACAACCATTTTGAAAATTGGGCTCCGGCTACCTCACCAGACGAAACGCGAAAGTATTTATCATACTTCCACTTTACGCCAGTCTTCTGAGAGGTCGTGGTATTTACCCGGACGAGCCTGCCCATTCGTGCAAGAGCCGAGGCTGCTGCGTGGCTCTACCACCGTTAAAACTATACACATACATACGCTGGAAGAACATTACCTCCATTCGGCAGTCGCTTAAAAATATGTTGAAGCTCTGACTAGAAAATATCTCTAGACGATTATTTATCCAAATTAAGTTTATTGTCATATGATCATATGAAATATCAGTTTTGTTCCGAACTCTAACTACTAATGTTTTTTTTTAAACAGCCAACTGCGCACTTACGAAGCGCACCTCGCCACGATAGCTCTCAGCACGGTGGAAGCTTCCAGAACCATCGCCCAGGTCCTATACGACATGAACAACATTTGAGAATCGCCCAACGGGCCCCAGCCCGCCCAATGATAGCGGAATCGACGACCCAAAGGACATGCGTCTGATTGGGGACGTTGGCAACACCGATCTTATAAATATTGCCATTAAAAATAATGTGTACATATCGTGGACTTTGCGATAACGAAATTGGGTGTTTTGTGAATGCACACTACGTGTTTTATGTGATAATGTGGCAAGCGAGGTGGTGGTTCATCTGATGTCAAGTGATAAGCGTTGCTCATTGACAGTTGCAACATCCGTAGGGTTGCAGATGCGTTGCAACCTTTAACAAAGCGGCCCCCGGCTACCTCACTCACCAGACGAACCGCAGAAGTGTAACACTTCAATTTCACGCCGGTCTTCTGCGAGGTCGTGGTACTTCCCCGGACCAACCTGCCCATTCGTGCAACAGCTAATTGTTGCGTGGCCCTACCTGTTTGTTTTAAAAATTGTTTTTTTTTGTATCAATGAACTTATATGCGATATGCACGCAACATTTTTCATTAAACAGAATTCTTACTACAGTTATCCGAATCGAGTCGACTCGCTAATAAAATGCATATTTAATAAAGAATAAGATTGATTTGTTCCACTTTGCTTTTATGTTACATTATGTTTGCAAAATCCACAACATTGTCTAGACGTCGGATTTGTATTGTTTCTATCTATCTTTGCTGCTGTAAAATTATAAACTATCAGAATTCGATTTTATAATTCAACAATATTTTATACGTTGACTCGGTAACGTTTTGAAATAAGAGAATAAATGGGTTAAAAAATTATTTTAATTCTCTTAACGCTTTTCATAAATAATGCAATTAATTTTAGTATTTAAGTAGTGTACTGTAACGTTTTTTTTTGTTTCTTATAGTTTTTAAGGGGACATTCGAATTGCATTAATAAGTATAGTTAAGCGGGGAAAAATTTAAAATAATTATAAAAATTAAGGAATGTACAAAATTTTGCTATAAAGCAACTGTAACTTTGGTATTATTATCATCAGGTGATGTTTACATTTGCCAATTATGTTCTTTTTTTTTTTCAATTTTCAAATTTTAAGCAAAACAGCAGCTTTCACGTACATATGTGTATATGTATGTAAGTATATAGTGTGTATGTGTTAAGTATCAGTGTACAGCGAAGAGATATCGGTAGGTACTGACAGCACAACAAGACTGTAGATTTCATAATTACTTTTTGTATATCTTGGCTACTTTTTCGATGTGATTTATTTATCACGTCACGTTGGCCCGAATAAGCCTTTAATATTGCTTGTGCAACTAATACCTGAATGTGTTTAAATTTCATTGTAAGTTTTCGATTGTTAATTATCAACGTAATATACAATAATAATGACAAGATTATCTAATCTGTGTGTGGGTCTGATTTAATTGTAGTGTCGACAAGTATTATTATTTAATTTTTGTAATCAATTGTTATTGTAACAATGTAATGACTACATACTGTATGCAGGAGATGCAAAATATGTGTAAGTGGAATTAAACTTTAATATTGTAAGAAGTTGTGTTTTCTATTACATACGGATAAAATTGATCATTAACCGCTACTCACAAAGAATGTGAATGTACTTGAAGTTTGACGATACATTTGTTAATAGATAATTGAATTGATTATGGTATCAAATTAACAATTAATACAAGTTTATAATGGCAACAACAACTTTGGGGCATAATACGCAATTACAAGTATAAAGTAAAAAGGTAAAGTAACCTATAATTGTCCCACTGCAGGGCAAAGGCCTCCGCTGTACTTCTGTACTATACCCTCTGTATTAGGGCGTAGTCCTCCACGCTGCCCCACTGCGGATAGGCGTATTCTTCACATATCTGAGAAATATTTATTCTTAGAAATTTAAATTGTGCTAATCTTTGCACTTGAGATTGAACATTAAAATATGTAGAAAAGATACGAAAAGATTGTCGCCGCTGTGGGAATCGAATCCACGTCTTCGGCATTCGCGGCCTGACGCTCTAGCCACTGAGCTCTAGCCACGGCCGATTGCCACACCGACGAATTCCGGTCGCCGACAATCTTTTCGTACTTTTTCTACATATTTTAATATTTATTCTTGTTATTATTGCGAAAATATAGAGGTTTCCTCACGACGTATTCTTTCATTGTTGAACACATGATAAGTCAGCACTTAAAATTAACAATTTCATTGGTGCCGGCGTCGCGGATCGAACTCAGATTTCTCGAGTATACGGAATTAAAAGCGAGCACCCGTAAAATCAGCTATCACGGGTGAAACGATTATAAAGCAAAAATAAATCAGAAAATTTGTAATTAAAAATACCTGCTCGCAAAACCAAATTTATGGCTAAGTCCTTTATGGTTCAAGGTGCGCAATTATGGAATACCCTACCTCTGGAGATGAGACGTGCTCAGTCACTTAAAGAAAGCAAAAAAAGAAAGAAAAAAGTAAAAAAGAAATAAGTGTGTGCCGGCGGCCTTCTGTTTCGGGGCCGCCCGATTACCGACCGAACTATTATAACATTTTTTTTCGGCGAAATTTCCCGTCATATTCGAATGATATTTTTCATTCTCTAGAAAACAGGGATAAAAGGACTTTTTCTAAGAATGAAACCTAACTAGAACGGTTTTTCGTCCCCGAATCTAAACTAAATTTCATGAAAATCGCTGGAGCCGTTTTCGAGATTCCGATTATATATACAGCGTGTCGTTACCACGGCGACAATAAATGAACACACATAGATGATAACTTTTTAAAATTGTATTAAACATTTACATTCTTTAAATATCAATATTTACCGAGTTATTAAAATTTCCACAACAAACAATTTTAGAACACCCTTACGTATAAAACTGTAACGTAAAGTTCATTTGTAAAGGTCACGGAGCATATGAATGGGTTGAATGAATTTAAAAGAGACAAAACATACTGTTAGAAGGAGAGGCTTGTAATGCGACGCTGTGGCGCGAGTTGTATAGGATGTTACAAATTTTGTTTCTTTTTTACTTAATTAGTTTGTTTGAAAAATATTTTTTTTTAATTATGGATTTTGTTAAAAGTTAATATTTTTTTATGAATATTGGCAAGTAGCGTTAGACGTGTGTTCATTTATTGTCGCGATGGTAACGACACGCTGTATATGGATGACTACCGCATTGTCAACACGTTCTGTTTTTTAGGGAATAGAATGGCATTTTTTTTTGGAAAATAAAAACTTTGTTTTTTTATTTCTATAAACGATTATACTAGCGAGTCTGAACCTACAACAAAGTATGTATTTAACTTATAAAATTAGTAGAATTTTTAACCACACCCCTAAAATACTCTTTTCGTATTATGTCCATCCAAAGGTTGCCTGGAAGAAATTGCTTTAAGTAATAAGGCCGCCCATTGTACAACCCTTACATAATTGTAATTTTTATTGTATTCTTTTTTACCATGGTGTGTGCCATAAAGAATATTCATTCATTCATTCATAAATTATTCATTTAATTAATATAATCGGTTGCATCAGGAGCAGGCTCGTTGTTTATTACGTGTTGTATTTTATTGTGTGTTTTATTGTACGTTATTGTGTGTGTGTGAGCTCGGGCACGTGTGTGCGTGGGTGTGTTCGCTATTAAGGGAAATGGTGAATGTATGTATGTCCGAGTGTTTGCGAAAGTGTTATACACGGTCGTATTACAGGAGAGTTGATTAAAAATTAAGAATAGGGCTGATAAATTTTCTGCTCTAGTAATGATAATTTTCTCTTCAATTTCTGCGTTTGTGAACATTCAACATTATAACCGCAGTAATTTATTGATGTTTAAGTTAATATTTAAATTAACTTAAAAGAAATAAGTTGGTGGCCTGCAGGCGGATTTTTTCCGTTATTATTAACTGAAACATCCTATTTTTTAAATTAAAAGCTGTTTCGTACAACCCTAAAGTTTCATTAAAGGTAAATATTTCAGAAACATTATAATTCCAACTTCGAACTTCTTTCTACAAATTTCTGAACAAAGAATACATTTACCTCGAAAAATATTATTTTCACTCGAAAAATTATAAGGCTTCTCGGCAGATATGAAACAATAATCTAACTGTAATGAAATATGTTTTCGTGAAAAGGCTATCATAATATTTACCTTTAAAATGTAAATTCATGTAACCAATTCTATTTAAGAGACCAATATTATTAAAAACGTTAAAATAATATTTGCTATCAAAAATGCAAGATTTGTTTTCGACATTTTAGATTTATTAACTCTAAGTTAGGTGTGTACATAGCTGGTAGTTGGTCTGTCATTTGAAAATTCCCAGCATATTCACACTGCCTTTATTCGACCTATCTACGATTCATCAACCTTCTATGACTCTAGGCATGCCAGATGCATATGACTTAGTTTCAATGTAAGCCATCCTGTGATCATGGGGAAAACGTAAACCTGACGGAAGTAAACTGCGAAATCGAGCGTCGGTTGCTTAACCGCCGATAGGCAAGCTACTTAACACAGTGACAACGGACCTGATCAAAAATTAAAAACATTATTAAAGGGTTAAAATCCCTTTCTGCACCAAGTCTAAAGTACTGAAGCCCGTTTATCTATCTACTAGGTTGGCTTTAAACTTTCAAGAACTCTTGCATAGAATATTGACAGATCGTAGAAATAATAGTACTACACAGTTGTAAATAGACTAATTTAGGTCCTGTTCTAAAGTGTAATGAAACGATAAAATTATATTGCTCATGATTAGCGATTCAGCCTAATTCAAGAAAAAATCAATTCATTCCTGTCTAGAGACAGGGTGATTATCAGATTAAAGTCTTAGGATTAACAAGATACAAGGTAGTGGGTTGATCCCGGTGTAAATTTCAAATGGGTTCTCCGTTTATTTTGTATAGAGCACCCATCTTTAGCCGATATTTTGTTTATATGTGGGAAGCTGCATCACCTTTCACTAATTCGTTGGGCTTAAAAGTGATAGCTTATGTGATATTATCTATAATCTTCTA